AAGACTGTCTGTTGATTACGGAAAGAAATCAAAACTTGAATTTGCCGTCTACCCAGCCCCCCAGATCTCCACCGCAGTGGTTGAGCCTTACAACTCCATCCTGACCACCCACACCACCCTGGAGCACTCCGACTGTGCCTTCATGGTAGACAACGAAGCCATCTACGACATCTGCCGCAGAAACCTAGATATCGACAGGCCAACTTACACCAACCTTAACAGGCTTATTGGCCAGATTGTGTCTTCAATCACAGCCTCGCTTCGCTTCGATGGAGCCCTGAATGTCGACCTGACAGAGTTCCAGACCAACTTGGTGCCCTACCCTCGTATCCACTTCCCTCTGGCCACCTATGCTCCAGTCATCTCTGCAGAGAAAGCCTACCATGAGCAGCTGTCCGTTGCTGACATTACCAATGCTTGCTTTGAGCCAGCCAATCAGATGGTGAAGTGTGATCCTCGTCATGGTAAATACATGGCCTGCTGTCTGCTGTATCGCGGTGATGTGGTGCCCAAAGATGTCAACTCTGCCATTGCTGCCATTAAAACAAAGCGTACCATCCAGTTTGTGGACTGGTGCCCCACAGGCTTCAAGGTGGGCATCAACTATCAGCCTCCAACAGCGGTCCCTGGTGGAGACCTGGCCAAGGTGCAGAGGGCTGTGTGCATGCTGAGCAACACCACAGCCATCGCTGAGGCCTGGGCCCGTCTCGACCACAAGTTTGACCTCATGTACGCCAAGAGAGCCTTTGTCCACTGGTATGTTGGGGAGGGCATGGAGGAGGGAGAGTTCTCCGAGGCCAGAGAAGATATGGCTGCCCTGGAGAAGGATTATGAAGAGGTTGGCACTGACAGCATGGGAGAGGAGGACGAAGAGGGAGAGGAGTATTAAAGGGCCAAACATACATCCCATATTCAAAAAGTTATCAATTATGCAACACATTCCCTACAACACTTTGATAACATTGTGATAATGATCAATTTCAGTATTATCAATAAAATGTTCTCTTGAACCCTTTTAAGTGATTTGTGGTCATTCCTGAAATAAATCTTTAGCATGGTTTGGCAGATAGTTAAGAAAGTATTTTTTTGAAAATGATGAATTCAACAATATTTAAACACATTCCTAGCATATAGAATTGTTTATTTCATACTGATTAATCTGGAGTGATCTCAGAATACTGAGTTTTGCATTTAACTTTTACAAATGTTACAGATTGTGAGAGAGAAAAATGGGCACATATCAGCAATATACTGTAGTGATAATTATGCATGACAAGGAACTGCTGTCCATGAAAGGTATGAAGACAAGTTATAGGGCGAAGTACAATCCTTATTAGTGACCAAAGCAATATTTCATGTGTACACAGATGGACATATAATGGGTCTACTCTAGACTATAAGTTTTGATATATTTGCTATTAATCAAGGAGGGTGTGTTTTGTTTTTCTGGATTTCAGAATGTTTTAAAGGAAATTACAGTTTCTCTGCCTTTGCCAATTTCCTCCCTTGTTTTGCCATGTTGATAATCAGTTACAAAGTATACAATGGGCTTGGCAGGAGTAGTATGAAGCTGCAGCCTCGGAGGAGGGTGCACTCTCAGGACCGCATGCACTCTCAGGACCGCATGCACTCTCAGGACCCTAGTTGTTTTGCAACATCGCCACCTAGTGAGCAGGAGACATGAATATGAACGACAACGCATAGAGTGTGAGTAGTGTGAAGTGCTTTTAAAGTTTTATTTGTTTAACATTAATAACAATTCCGGTGTCTTGAAATGAAGTGTGATTAGCTAACATTAACTATGATAGTCTTAAGGCAATACAAACAAACATCTGTTAGCTTATGATAGCTTCTAACAGTATTAAAGGCACTAAAAACAATTATTTGTTAGCTATAGCTTTCGGCAAAAGCTAATGCTAATAGCATTAGCTTCATTAGCATATTTGATTATTTGTTTAATGAAACTGTAGCGTGATTTTGGCAAGCCCAACTAGGTGTCCTACATTAATTGTTGATTTAATCACTAATTACAGTAACACGTGCTAAATGTCATCTGTTAGCCTATGATGACTCGCTGCAAAACCAACTGTTAGCCTTTTTGTTTATTTGTTTAATGAAACCGTATGTTATGGTTATGTTATTTAGCAGAGGCTTTTATCCAAAGTGACTCACAAAAAACATAAAAGAACCATAATTAACATTAGATTATCAATACAAATAGTTACATAGTCAGTTACATTACGTATTACATTTTTAACAGGGTAATTAGTCATCTGTAACCTACATTTAAAAAAAGTAAACTTCCCAACCCTGATCATTAATTATAGTCAGCTAATTAATTAAACTTCAAAGGATGACAAAAGCATGTCAATATGATCTGTCTGTCCGCTACATTAAATCAGCAGTAGCCTAATATAAGTTCTGTCTTCAGTGTAAATGCTTCTTTAATAGTCATTGTATTACTATTTGAATTCATTGTAAATAATTTTAACTGTGCTGACTGCCTGTTTACTGTTTATCAGACAGTCTCATCATTTTGACATGTTTTGTAATATTGCATGAGGTGTTTTAGTCAGTTATTATGTCGGCCTATTCTGTAGGTTAGAATCTGTCGTGTCAGAATCTAACAATTAGGCCTAATTTATGTCTGTCTGTGAAAGTATTTCAAAATGTTCAGTTTGACCAATTAGGCTCTCTCTTTTTCAAGATGCATATTTCAATCCAAGAGGGGAGATCCTTGCCCGATTTACAATGATGCACTACATGTTGCAAAGTCTATAAAGTGTCTTTACTTCTGCCTTCTCCTATCCTAGTATTATGAAGTTGATTGACTAAGCGTAAGGTCAGCTAAATTAAGGAAGGTTTTGTTGTTTTTCTGTCTGAATTGTAATTTTCTTATGACATTCTACTTCAGGTGTCGTCAACTGGAATGTCTTCTCAGAGGGACACAAAAGGGAATTTCGGAAGGAATACCAAATTTCCAGGTGCTTTTACTGCGACAACCTTTATAAGGACGTTGGCACAGGCTACCGGGGAAGTGGACGGCGAGGAGTGTTGCAGGGTTTTTACTCAGAAGAGGGCTTCCCGGGGTACTGCAGCTGGAGCTGTTGTCTGGTGGTTGAGGGAACAGCAGACCCCGCCTCACCCCAGTGAAGAATCCACAGTGCCCAATAAATAAAAATGTATTCTGCACTGAAATTCCTCTCGTCAAATTGCATGTTTATCTTTTGCAGCCTGGTGCATAAACACACTAACAGTTGTTTTTGAGTAATCTAGCACCTCTTCAAAGACACATTTGATTTGATTTATTTCGAACGTGTAATACAATAAAAAATATATATATATAATAATGAAATGAAACAAGAGAATTATGATACTGTAGAAACATAAGCAGTATCAAATTGATTCAAAGGAGTTTACACTTATTTAACCCCACCCCTTCTCCCAAAAACTAAATTAACAGTTTTCTTTTAACAAAATATACATCTAAATGTATGTCTACATACAATATACATTTACAATTATAAATAGATTATATCATTATTACTACAATATATATATATATATATATATTTATGTTGTATGTCAAATTTGATAAAGACAAATATAAAAGACTATCTTTTTACATCTGACATACAAAATACATTTGTTATTAAAAATCAAAAACATATTAACAACTTGTTGTTAATAATAATAATGTAATTTCAGTAAGAAAAACATATTTTCATGCATTTTTAGATGGTTAATAACAAGCATTACAATGTCTAAAGAGACTCGCAGTGTATGAGACTCAATACTCGCTGGTTGTACTTTTGCGGTCATCCAATCCGCTAGGTGGCGATGTTGCAAAACAACTAGGGTCCTGAGAGTGCATGCGGTCCTGAGAGTGCATGCGGTCCTGAGAGTGCACCCTCCTCCGAGGCTGCAGCTTCATACTATTGCTTGGCAGGCCTTGCACCTGCAGTTGCTTCAACCAGCCACCGATGGGAGCAATGTAACCACTTTTGTTTGAGTTGGTTTTGTCCTTTCAGATCAGAATTCCTTTATTCGTCCCACAGAGGGAAATGTACATTTGTTACAGCAAATAACGAGCCAAAGATAGTTTAATATTAATTAATAAGCATGCATACAAATATTAAAGATAAAACTAGAAATTACACAAATGTACAAATACACATCCAGTACTTTGCCTGAATGTAAAGATGTTGAGTCCTTTAAACATGAGTGACCAGTCTTTGAGCATGTGATGCTATGACAAACTAACACCAAAAGCCTGCTTGCTTTTAAGTTTCACTTATACAGTATGGTCTAACCAGGTCTACTACATTAAAGTAGGGCTATTGTGTCCCCATTCAAGTATACAAACGCTCAGCTCTCTTTGAATAAAATATTCGGATCCAGATAAGTCACATTGCATACAGGATCAACATTGGCAGAAGTATTAGTATTCATTACCTGTAACTAAGTACAATATAAGTACCACCGTGCAAAACTACATAACAATTACATTTTATGTAGGGTATTCAAGAACATAAATGTCACTGAGAGAATTACATTCTTTAAAAGCCTGAGTTATTAGATGATAATTATTATAAATCATTCCAATATTATTAAAAATTATTATCCCTGGGGGCTTGTATAAACTATTATTTAATAACATTCCCCATGTATGACAAATCTTAAACTGCAAAGTTACTGTGGCTGCCAGATAAATGTAGCTTTATGTGCTATACATATATTGAGTTAAAGTATAAAGGAAAAACTTTAGCACAGTAGCCTATGTTGGTAAATTAATTAGCAAACATTGCACCACTCTTTAGTAGCCTAAGCATGTATGCGGTAGCGTTGGCATGACATTATTTTAAATATATCTGTCCAGATACGGTCATTTTGTTCCTATGTCTTTCTGAAGTGGTTAGCCAGAGTAGGTGGATACCATAAGAAGTGTTTTGGTATTGGTGAGGCTACATTAGCACAGAGCAACAGGCGGCAGAGGAGGCAGGGCGGGTCTGAACCATAGGTCTGAACGTCTGAAAACACTCGCATGTTCCCGACGCTCCATTTCTCTCCCTCTCTCTCAGCTGATAGTGACGTAGCGCGTCAGCTTTGACCAGCACAGGAGGCAAACAGGGCTGTCACTCAGTCAACTTGTTTTCACGGTGTGGACCGTAGAGTAGACCGCAGAGGCAACACGGTAGCCTGCATTGCAGTAGACATATTGTGTTGTCAGAGAGTGTTTGTGTCGGGTCGCTGGAGAGGAGGACTGAAGGAGGAGGCTGTCCACGCGGCTGTCAAGAAGACAGGGGGAGCGCCTACATACCAGAGGCACCGCTATCATAACTAATTCATTGTCGCTACAGACCGGTGGACAGGCTAACCTGCTAACCAATTAGCCCGAAAGACTCACACGGTAGGTCAATTTAGCTTCGGCTAGTCTTGATAACTTGTGGCTATACACACTGACCGTACACTATTTTGTATAGACGTACAACTTTGCCCTAATAGAAAGTATGGTGTCAACCGAGTAACCAAATAACGGCGCTTAATGTTAATGTACTGAGACTACTAGAATATAGACAGCACCTTCTTGCAAGTCCAAATGCCCGTGTATGTAAGTTTGCGTAGGCCTACTGTCATGTCAGCAGCAGTTGTCAGATGCCATGACTCTAGAAATAACATAGTAATAATACTCGTGTTAGCGCATGGCTGTTCCCGAGGGGGCATAGAAAGTTATGTTTAGGTATTTTACATCAGTTTGGAAGTCCCCTTCAGCCCTAAAAGTGGTGAAGTCCACTAATGAGATTGGCATGGCGGTTGCATGCTGACTAACGTTGGCTATAATGGAACTAATGACTGTACAAAGGTCCTATCAGTTCAAGGGTACATTTTCAACTAGGCTATTATTAATAAAAAAAGTTTTTCTTCAATAGATTCAAAGAAAACAATATTTTCAATAACATACATAATATTGATCTATGTGCAGAACACAACATAAGTCATCCATAATGTATTTACATTAAAATATACATGTTTTACCTTGCAGTAGGCCTACAACTGCTACACCACAATATATCACGAGTGATTAAGTGAAACCGGATAACAAATAAATAAACCTCTATAGATATGTTATATAATGTTACTCAATAGCCAAAATAGTTTCACGTAAAAGTTGCAAAAACAAACAAAAGAAGTTTAATGTTTCTCATTAAAGTCCACTGCAATAATGGAGTCTTGTTATGAGTCTTTACTGGATGTATCTCACTAAGATACTGATTTATTCTAAACAGTGCTTACTGTATTAACTTGTACTGTGTTGTCCTCTACCCAAAACAATTATTTGGCGTTTAGGCCATCTATATGATACATTGATCATAGTAAAGGGTATACATCAACATGTTGGTCAACTCTTAATTTATCTGTTGCTTTAAAGAGCATATCTTGTCTATGATGATCGCATGTTGGCTGAACTTGATGGGACTTGAATGAAATGATGTTGACCTCTTAGTAAATGTTTAGTTTTCAACAGGCCAAATATCAGTTGAGGTGAACTTCATTGACTGTAAAGTGAAAGTAAACTGATATCACTGCCACTCCCACACACGTGTTTTCAATTGCTGTGGCAGATCATTGCTCTGCTCATGTTAAACCTGGGCAGAGCATGCTGGGAATTACATGATGTCATTAAACAACATTTATTATAAAAGGTGTACTGGCATTAAATATTTAGCAAAACTAACAAGACAGTAAAGTGTCAATCAAGTGCTCAATAAGTGAAAACTGGTTTGTTAGTGATCTAATTCCAAAAAGGGAATAATATAATATGTATTTGTCAACACATGCATACTCACATTCAGAATGATAAACAACTATGTTTACATTACACATTGCCTTATTTAGCCATTCACTACACATGCTGCTGCCCATTAAATAAATAAGGAGCATAGAGCTGTTTCTTCTCCTTTTTTGGATTTTAGGAAATACCAGAAATACCAAGGTTTTACGAACGAGAATGGAATTTGACAAACTGTGCATGTCCAATCAGAGTTGAGTTTGTCCTGAACTCTTTCAGGGGGCGGTGAGGAGTCACAGGGGGCAACATGGTGGACTACTATAACGTCCTGGGAGCGTCCAAAACAGCCTCTCAGGATGACATCAAGAAGGCGTGAGTATCCTGCTGCTCTCTTTCAAGCTTTACATTACACAATTTATTAACAATACTTATATATAATATACAGTTATTGAAAACATATTAGTAGTGTACCTACTGCAAGGTTATATTGGCCTTGAAAAATGTGAGACTGCTACAAAATAAGCAGTTTTTTGGTTTTATGCACTGCAGGGTTTGTTTGATCAGGGGATACCATTCATAGTACAATTGTTTTTCTTTTTATATATCTTTTCTGCATCAGTCAATGTTTGTGTATGTTTCCTGAATTCAGTTATAGGAAACTGGCACTGAAATGGCATCCAGACAAAAATCCAGACAACAAGGAGGAAGCAGAGGCAAAATTCAAAGAATTGTCTGAGGCCTATGAAGTCCTATCTGACAGTAAGTCAAGGCAGTGTCCATCTTTATATATATATATATATATATATATATATGGATATATACACTTATCTATATATAGATATATACAGTATATGCATGTGTGTTTGTTGTTGATGCTGTGAGTCATGAGTTCTGAGTCTCTGTGTGCAAATGTCAGGCTCTTCAAAAAGGAACTACATTTATAGAACCCGAAAATCTCTCTTCTCACAGTAGTTAGATTTTTAATTTATTTGAATAACTTTACTGTATCATGTTTGTGAATGTACACAGTATAACAGAAGAGAGAGAGATATACATTGGTGTAAATCTAGGTCAGTGTTTCCCATACATTGATTTATTTGTGGCGGGCCGCCACAAATGGATCTCATCATTTATTATTATTATTATTTTTAATTTTTTTTAAATGTTGGTAGTCTAATGGATAGTGAGGTGGGCTGATGATCGGAAGGTTGCAAGTTCAAATCCCGCCTGGAACACCACTACTAGTGTGCCCTTGAGTAAGGCACTTAGCCCTCAGTTACTCCAGGGAGAATGTCCCTGTAATTGGTCATTGTAAGTCACTTTGGAATAAGGCGTCTGCTAAATGCCTAAATTATATTTTTAGGAGAATAAACCCCACAGATCCTCAACTCCGGTGTGTCTCAGTCATTAACAACGCAACACAGAGCAACAAGAACGTAGTCTACAGTACCCATGAACTCGCATGTATTTTCTTATTTGAGGGGGGGGGGGGGGTGGATGCGTAGGCCACCGGAATAGGTTAAGGGGCCTTTGGCTTTTCTTGCCGGGGGGCGGTGCGGTGCGGTGCCCCCACAAATAGAATCAAACACTGTAGGTCATAGGTTTTTATTGCATCATGAAACTCTGCTCTGTTCTTCTCCTACAGAGAGTAAGCGTGATGCATATGACAGATATGGAAATGACAGAAGGCCACCCACAGGTAATTAAAACCCAGCTTGAAATATTATTGCATCCACTACATGTTCTTCCTTGTGTTTCATGCAACCTCCATTTCATTCACTATTCTCATGTTGTGGCACCATAAAGTTGTCCTCCCTCTACTCTTTCCCCCACTATTTCACTCTCTTTGCTGCTGCTCATCCCTCTGACCCCGACTACTTGATTTTTCAGGTTCCTCCAGCGCAGAGTTTTCTTCAGATTTCCCAGGATTCACCTTCACATTCCGCAAGCCAGATGACGTATTCAGAGAGTTTTTTGGCGGCCAGGATCCTTTCGCTAACTTCTTTGGTAAGTCTGTCACAAGAATCCAATATTCATTTGGATTTATATGAGCATTTTTATTATTTATATTATATGAACAAATATTTATATTTAAAACAAATAGTTTTGGGGGAACTCAATGCTTCAGTCAAAACAATTAGGGTTACATTTTGTCAGGTACATTTTTACGGTTTTTATTTTTTTATTTTCTAGATGCTGCTAATGACTTTAGCCTTTGGTCACATTTCACATTTCACATTCATCATAGCATATTTATTTATATTGTAAGAATTTGTATATAAAGAGTTTGCTTTACATTTTTGCTCATTAGTCACATGTCTGTACAGTAAATGAAATAAGTGTACTTCCTACCTCTCACATTAGAAGATTCAATTGAGTACAGTTTTCAGGTAAAAATAAGTGTCTCTCTCTCTCTCTCTTTCTCTCATCCAGATGACTTCTCATCCTTTGGAGGCACGTCTTCTCGCCTCGGCCCCGGGCGATTCTTTTCCTTCCCTTCAGCAGGAGGTAAACGGCTACACGAAGAAAGTTAAATGGCAAATACAGTATCCATTATTTTAGTAGCAAATAAGACATTATGGCGTATGAAAACATCAAAGAAAATTGAAACAACAAAAATGTGGCACAAAAATATACTTGGACTCTATGATTAACAAATGTAAGTTTGTGGACAAAAGTCAAAGTCACTGTGACCTCACAAAACATGTTATTGACCTTTAACCAGGAATTCTTACTCTAGATAACACCATTTCACAAAATCTTCTCTCTTCCCTTCTCTTCCCTTCTCTTCTGCTTTCCCTTCCTGTCCTTCTTCAGTTGATTTTACATCCTTCTCCTCTTCCATGGGTGGTCTGGATGGGATGGACAGCATGGGCGGCGGTATGGGCCACTTCAAGTCAGTTTCTACCTCCACTCGCATCATGAATGGCAAACGCACCACTACCAAGAAGTACGTAACGGCGCCAAAAGAAAAGTTACCCCTCCTGGGAACTACATTATTTTCAAATATTTCTCTATTTCTTTACCGAACAGGGTTTCACGGGCAGGGCTTGTTGTTAACTACTGTATGCAATTCATGAACGTGAAACATTGTAGGAAATGATCTGAAATCTGTCAAAAATGTCTAATTTAAATGTTCCTTCACTCTTAGATGACGTACACACACAAAACTATTTCAAGTATTCTAAGAACTTTTGTTGTTGACTTAAGTGACAGATGGGGTCCAAGAATAGCAAGCCGTATGAATGTGTAGGAGCAAATGATTTCTTAATGCTCTTAATGTTTTCATATATTGGCTGATGTTTATTGGATTCTCTTTGCTTTTTAATGACTGTTTTTAAATGCCTTTTTATAATATGTTTCTGCTGCACTATTTCTTAATGCTCTTAATGTTTTTCATTTTTGTAAAGTACTTTGAATTGCCTTGTGTTGAAAGCTGCTATATATATATATATAAACGTACCTTGCCTTGCCATTTATTTCTTATTACAGGACGAAGGAGAACGGGCAGGAGAGAACAGAGATCGAGGAGGACGGGGTGTTAAAGAGTGTCCTAATTAATGGTAAAACAACATTCAGTTTGCACTATTCTATCTGTTTTATGTCCTATATATATTCATGTTGCCCTGTTGGAGGAGCCTGTGACTTAAGATTGTCCATATCTACACTGTAGCTAATGTGCACATGAAAGCAATAAAGCCTTGAATCTTGAAACAAAGCATACTGAATGGTGTAAAAAAGAAACTGATGTCTAATGTAACCATTTTTATCTAAATATATTTGTTAAAGGTCACCTATAATGCAACATCCACTTGTTCCTGTCTTTTATACATAAACATGTGTCCCCTCTGTGTAAAGAGATTCTGAAAGTTTCAGGATAAAAGATTCTCTCTCTTTGTTACCTGATCAGGGTAGGAATTTCACGGCGGCCATGACGACCATGGCCTTTGTGCCCCTCACACTGTTAAAATCTCGAAGTTGCTTTTAAAAGCGTCAGAGCAGTGGTCTGGTCTCTGAACTGCATTATGCTGCGTTCACAACAGACGCGATGCGAATATTTGCATTGCTCTAATCGCTGGAGAGTCCCCGCGGCTGTCAGCTGTGTTTACTCCTGTCATTCAAACAGGACGCGCTGGAGAGGGGGCGGGGCTTATATCCATGTAAATACTGTGGTAGAAATCAACTACAACAAAATGAACATATTTTACCGTGACTTAATTGTAATACACGTTTCAAAATGATGCCGAAGTAACACAATACTGATAACGGTTAGTAAAAACCAAGAACTAATGCTTTGACAAGTGTACAGACAAGACGGAAGGCGAAAAACCTTTTAAAATGCGGGTTTTCTGAATGGAAATCGGATCGATCAGGCTAAACTAACCTGTAGCTGCTCTGTCCAAACTCACAACAACGTCCTAAAGACAGAAATAAAGCAGCGACTGTATTCGCCATGACACAGACAGTCTGTGGTTTGTACTTGTTTAACTTTTGTCCAGTTTCTGAATAGATATGAGGAGCTGTGGGCTCTGTGTGCTAACAGCTAACGGCTGAGGTATTGGTTTTCTGATTCAGTGGCTGAGATCCTCACTGCTGATTGGCTACCGCGAGAACGCGTCACACGAATTTGACGCTCGAGTTGAAAAAATTGATTAAAGAGACTCGTACACACACACACACACACACACGCACACACACACTTTTTTATTTCAAAGTATTGCTTGTTCATACAGTTGTTTGTTTGAGCTTCACTGTGCACTGCTGAATGATGTATGTGCAGAGTTTGACCCTTGAAGGCTGTTTCTTCTGCTTTGAAATTGAATATATTTGTTACATATTAATAGAATTTTTGATTTGATTTTCGAATTTGTGAATGGGAGAAGTAGTAGATAGAAAACATGCCAAACACTAATTATTCAAAGTAGAGTATTTCATTGTATATACGGTAATACTAAGGAGGAATAGGCCTATATGATTATAATGTTTGACATTATGGATATTAAAAAAGTGATCTGTTTTCCATGTCATTCGTGTGTTTTTCTTATCAGAAAGTGAAGTTATTTCTTTAGCTCCAAAACCAATTTTTTCCCTCAATGGCCTTTGTGCCCTAAACATTTTTGTGATACCAAAGGTCAAATGGCCTTGCACCTAAAATGACGAAATTCCAAGCCTGGTCCTGATCCATTTATATAAAAACCTGTCTGAAAATGAGCTGATCAGATTTCGGCCACTTTATGATTTTTTGGGTTGTGTAACCATTAGCCAATCACCAACCAAGGTAAGACCCCCCCCACCTTATCACCTGAATCTCCTCCTCGAGCACCATTGTGTTCTTTTTAACCAAATATCTCTCAGAGGGGCGTTGGGAGTGGCTCCTTATTTTCATCTAAAGTAACAGACAGGGAATCAGCACTTTTGAAACAGGGCTGAAACAGAGGGGTTTATGGGATGCTACAATGGGTTTGGTATTTGGAGCCAAACACTTCAGAGACATGCTTTGTATATATCTGAGACCTATAATAATGTAATGAAAAACAGTATAATAGGGGACCTTTAATGAATGGTTTCAGTGACTTTTAATGCTTTCACAAACGAAGTCAAAGAGCAATATCAAGGCTGAACATGCTAATCTGCAAACCTTTGACATTATCTTATCAAAAAGCTTTCAAGTTGAACGTTGGATTTAAAGAAACTGTTATATTGAAAGCTGTGTGTATTTGTAACTCACATCAACACCTTCGTTCTTGTGTGTGTTGTCTCCAGGTGTGCAGGATGAAATGGCCCTCGCACTGGAGCTGAGCCGACGAGAGGATCTGTCCCGTAAATCTCCTCAGAAGCCCCGAATCCAACACAGATCACCTGCCCAGTGTGAGAGACCCCGCCCCAGCCCTCACTCGGCAGCCCCACACCGCTCATTCAGCTCCGCCCCATTCTACCACTACGGGGTCGCAGCTGGCAGTGAGGATGAAGAAGTAGAAGATGAAGATCTGCAGATGGCTTTGGCATGCAGCTTGTCAGAATTGGATGCCCAGCAGAGAGCAGCTGCTACCGACTTCATATCAGGTGCCGGGGATGGGGGCAAAGCCATGAAGTACAAAATTAAGACTACACAATGTAATGTGGCTGATGGTGAAGGGGAGGGAGGGGACGGGGGGGAGGTTAAAAAGGGCTCGGGGCCTGGTGCTGGGTGGGAAACGGAGGGAAAGGGAACAAGCAAACCAGATTTCTCTCCTGAGTCCTCCACTACTGCCACCACCTCGCCTCTGAGCCAGAGCAGTGAAGAAGAGTTTGCACCTGCCATGAAAAATAGTGATGGCAGCGTGAAAAAGAAAAAGAAGTGCGGGTGTATTGTGTGTTAATACAGTGTGTGTGTGTCTGTGTGTGTGTGTGTGTGTGTGTGTATTTGGGATGCCTTATTTTTTATACTTACCTCTGTGTTTCTGCTTTCAGCCAGACTCTAATTTAACGTGATTTCCAGACTCAGACAGTGCCTCAACTTATCACAATGCTTTCATGCAGATTTAACACTAAGAGTGACAGTTAGTCGACTTTGACATGGTGCCAACCCAGACATTTCCATATAATTGTTCAGTACAGCTAAAAGATCAAATTTAAAGCAATGCAGATGATTTGTGAATGTATGTAAATATGCCAAATATTTACACAGACTGAAAAGATTGTGAGGATCGAGAGGGATTTAAGTTTGTAGTGGGGTGTGGTGTGTGTGTGTGTGTGTGTGTGTGTGTGTGTGTGTGTGTGTGTGTGTGTGTGTGTGTGTGTGTGTGTGTGTGTGTGTGTGTGTGTGTGTGTGTGGTGTGTGTGTGTGTGGTGTGTGTGTGTGTGTGTGTGTGTGTGTGTGTGTGTGTGTGTGTGTGTGTGTGTGTGTGTGTGTGTGTGTGTGTGTGTGTGTGTGTGTGTGTGTGTGTGTGTGTGTGTGTGTGTGTGTGTGTGTGTGTGTGTGTGTGTGTGTGTGTGTGTGTGTGTGTGTGTGTGTGTGTGTGTGTGTGTGTGTGTGTGTGTGTGTGTTGTGTGTGTGTGTGTGTGTGTGTGTGTGGTGTGTGTGTGTGTGTGTGTGTGTGTGTGTGTGTGTGTGTGTGTGTGTGTGTGTGTGTGTGTGTGTGTGTGTGTGTGTGTGTGTGTGTAAATCTATAATGCTCCTTTCACACCAACGCGGTTCCAGGGCCGGAGCTAGAGCCTGATAAGCACCGTTTTTTCCTGTTCTAACAGGATGCGGAACTTAAATAACTTTAAAAAAACTTGTTTTATTGAAAAAAATTGTTTATTGATCAGCTGATACTGATTTTTAGAATATATATATATATATATATATAGAGGCAAAAATGAAGCATACTTTGCAAAAACACATTGCTTGTTTGCAAACACACCGGCTTCCCAGTCAGAATTGCTCAAACCGGTGGCCAAAGTATAATTTAATGAAGTACATAGTACAAGCCTTAATACACTGAAATATCATGACCATATTTGGTCAGATTGTAGATTAGGGCAACACTTTATGAGATTGAAAGGCAAATCACAGTGTGCAATAAATACAGCATTAAGACTGATTGTAAATGATAGTCTCAATCTTTAATATTGTGATCCTTTAATGCCTTTGCATGATTTGACTACTTTAGACTTTATACAAATGTTTCCTACATTAACACCTAAAATGTGCCAATTTAGAAAAGCACAGGTAAAGAAAAAGCTATACTTTATTAGTGAACAGGAGTGTTGTCAGGTGAGGAGGTGGGAGGGAGTGTCGTTAAGTTCAACTGCACTATGAATGCTTTAAAATGATGTCACCAATCAACAAATCAAAGTGACGAAAAACAACCTGCTGACTATGACTGCTGCTGTAGACCTGTGTGTTGTGTGGAGCGACTCGAAGAAAGGAAAACATTACTCCAAATGTAATTAATACGTTAAAGAACACTTTTGTACTGCTGTTCAAGGACACACCTGTCTCACTAAGTACCTTATCACAGGTCCTGTTTCTGGCACAGCTGATATACATAGAGCACAATAAGTGTAGTATTTAGATGTCGCTAATTTTCACGAGTGCTTTCTTTATTTTGTTCTGCATGAGTTTTGCATCGCTTTAAAGAATAACGTTCATCACTTGCAAACATTAAGCACGGCTGATACTGTTGATGCCTAAGGGAATGAGAAAGAGGCAACTCCCTGTATTATTTGTATTTCCTTGAACTGCCATGTGTTTTGTTATTTTTATTTTGCAGATTGTTAAAAAGGAAATAACAAATAAAAAGTGACTCAAAGAGGATATTTGATATATTTGATTTTTTTAAGAACATGGCAGTAATTGTTCTGCCTTTTATTTGTCACATATTTCACGCCACACCACTAGTGTACCACCATTACTACTTCAACTAACAACCACACATGAAATCACTGCAGTGCCGCTTTCCCTTTCATTTATATGGTATTTCTGGATCCCAAAAAAACAGATGTTGATAAGCCATTTTTAAAACAAATGAAAAGCGCACATAACATCATTTAATTTAAAAGAAGTACTTGATCAGTATGCTCACTTTTGATTTCACTCAGTTTGTTGTTGAACCAATGTCTTACTATTAACTTACCGTACTGACTCATGACACTCCTTTATTTATCATTACAAGTCTGCCTGTTTCTCATCTGTTCATATAATCTCACTTTATGTTGTGCAATCTACTCTCAGTGCAAACTAAGTAGATTTTTCATTGAAAATATTATGTTGATAAAGGAAAAGACATTGAGGAATAATAACTCAAAATAGTGTTTTTCAGTTGTTTACAGAAATGCTAAAACCTGTCGAAACAAGATGTAGAGCGAGCCAGCACCAATCAGCACACATTTAAAATAATGTTATCTGATATTTTGTTCCGCACATACTATTTTCGGCTGATCTGTTTCGCTTCCATTTTCATTATGCTGCTTCGCTAATGATGTGCTGGTATCACCTTTTAGTGCCGTTTGCAGTATGAAATACATGGAACATATTATTTTTTAAATCAATACGTGACAAACATCTTATCACAATAGAATTAAGGAGTCAAAGAGTTCAGTGGGAATTTGTTGTCTTACACATCCTGCTCCCTGTTTCAGACTCAGACTTCGAGGCCTTCACAAGCTAACCTGATTGGCTCGTGCTGCCCTGAGGTAAAGACCAGTGTGAACCTGAAGCCCCCTGAATGTTGCCCAATAAGCCCTTTGTAGATGGAGTCCAATCATTCTTAGAAGTAATATTTATAAAAGGTAATCATATTTGCATTACTGATGAAGTGTAACATTTCCTTGTTCATTTATTCTTACAGGTCAAAGGTCAATTCCCCAAGATGCACTTGTCTCTCTCTGCCCATCATGGCCACTACCTGCTGAATGAGACTTAAATTATTCAAATGTGTGTTTTTATATGTGTGTGAGTGTGTGTACATAGCTCATTGTGGAGCAAGAGACTGGAACGTTTGTATTTTGAAACCCAAGGAAATAGTTGTAATCTTCTCTGCTTTAACTGCTGTGTCAGCAGAATGATATGCTGAATTATGCCTGCAAGTGGAAGCTGATAAATGAAACTAATAGAACAATGTTTTAGAAGAAGAGAAAATAAAGCATTTCTTGCTGACTATTCTGCATCAGACCATATTAGTTTGTAGACTTATAAATAATCAATATATATATAGAATAATATAAGTGTTGTCAGGGTTAAATAATTGTAGTTCAATTGCCAAACGTTCTCTTTAAGTTAAAAAATATCTACTTGTCATTATTGTAATGCACTTGTTTTTGGCTGTCCCACCCTTTATGCTGCAGGGGGCGCTGTGTACAGCTCTAGAATTGCAGCTGTTGATGCATTTATGATACATTTTGAATAATACATGGATTTTTAATCAATAGATTAAAATGCATGAGACAAAATGCCGTTTTAATGCAATGTTATCGTTTTTTTTGTATGAAACAAAAACACAACCACTTAAAAACGCTGGTTGTCAAAGTGAGCAAAGAAAGCCTTTCCCTTTGATTTTAGTTTTTTGCTGCGTCACATCACAAATTTATTCAAGTCAAAATACATTTTTTATAGATATTTTCTGTCCGTCTGCTACATGAATAAACACAATCATCAGGATGAATTATTTACATAAATCACAAGGTCGAACACAGAGTAAGACGATGAAGAACCCAGAGTTACTTTGGTGGACTTGGAAGGTACATCATCGAAGGAGACCAGAGTTTAAAGCAAACAATCATGTTGCCATGGCAAAGACAAGCTTCACAAATAAAAAACCTGCTTGGAATCAACACACAGTAGCACACAGTATTCTGGTGGACACGTAACAACACACTTAGAGATTTAAAAACCATTGAAACCTTTTAGCCGGATGGATACTTTGTAAAGGGATTCAACATTATTTTAACAATAGTCCAAGGAAATTGTAATGTTCAACACAACGGCAAAACAAACCATTCGTGATGGTTGGAAATCATCTGTTAATGTTGATAGATCATTTGAGGTAATCATGTCCCAGTAAGAGGGTGGATTAGGCCGAGATGGAGTCAGATCGGTAAACAGTGTCACACATATATTATGTTTTTGAAACCATCATCAGAAGTGTTTTCTATCCTGTCAGCGCACAGTATATTAGCACGTATTTTTTATTCCTCGTCATTGTCATTGGCTGGCTTAATTGGTGTCTTATTAGGTAGAATCTCCAGAGAGCAAAGATCATGATTAACATTTAATCTCTTGGCCATATTTTACATCTTGCAAGAAATCATTTATGAAATTCCAGAAAGTTTTAAAAACCCAGCAAATGAGTTGATGGTCAAATACTGCATGCTGAAGACATGAGCTGTAAGAGCTCCAGGTGTGGTGGAGCAAATTCTAATATACAGTGATGGCCAGACAAACATGGCTGGGTCGTACGAGTGTGTCCTTATGAGTATTTCTTTTTGTGTCCATGGATGTCCTCACTGCGCCTTCAGCTCACTGTGGCAGGGCTTTCAAGATGGCATTCACCTCCTCTGCTACTGCTGTCAGCGCAAACTCAAACTGGTCCTGATCAGAATGAGAGATATGGAAAAGAAGTTGAATTGTGGACCTCTACCATATAAGTGCTAAAAGAGGGACAACACACACAGATATATGGTACCTTGGTGCGGACTAATCCAGGTCTCTGGTCTCTGATGTGCTCCAGTGCGGCTGCGATGTCAATCTCCTTCACTCCTAACAACAAAGACAGGAAGGGTCAAAACATTAGTACCACAGTTTTGAGGGTTACTCACTGTTTTGTAATACAGAAGCCAACACTCTTCAATAGAAAAGGAACCCTATTATGCATCATGGTATTATTCTGAAACACTCAAATAAACCTTTAGTGTGGTGAAGATAACAGAAATGATTTGGTTATGCATTTATGAACCAAACAAAATTAAACAAAAAAGTGTTTTTCTCTAGCTAACAAGGCAAGTTTATGAAACAATATTAAAAAAAACATACATGCATCCATATCATAGTGTGGAACATTACATTTTAAATGCATTGTGTTTATAACGACCTCACCAGTGTACATACTGAGCTGCTGTTAGCAAAACCTGACATAATTTCACCCTTAAACCCAAAATGTATGTGTGTGTGTGTGTGTGTGTGTGTGTGTGTGTGTGTGTGTGTGTGTGTGTGTGTGTGTGTGTGTGTGTGTGTGTGTGTGTGTGTGTGTGTGTGTGTGTGTGTGTGTGTGTGTGCGTGCGTGCGTGCGTGCGTGCGTGCGTGCGTGCGTGCGTGCGTGTGTGTGTGTGTGACTCACCCTTGGCCATGCGGTTCAGCACCATGTCAATGAGGATGTACGCGCCAGTGCGGCTAGTGCCATCGCTGTGAGAGTGACAGAGAGAAAAAAGGAAATGCACTGCGTTGTAATTCCCCATAATGTTTTACCTCAATCTGCTTTCTGCTCCAAACACACAATTTCCTAATTAGTAATATTTATGATTCTGCAAATCCGGGTCTTTCACAGAAACCTGACAGTCATCAGATGTATTCTTTTACCCGCAGTGAACGATGATTGGGCAGGAACGACCTCTGTAGCATTTATTCACCTTCCTGAAAAACAGGAACAAGGGACAGCAGAGACGGAAAAGAGAACATATAAAGGGCATTAATATAAATGATTCATAGTCAACTTTTTAATCGCAAATAAACATATTCACATATGCAATGAATATACATAAATGCCTTGTCAGTCATCACAACATGCAGCTGTTAATGTCTCTTTTGCAGATTCAGACATTGTTGGTTCTGAGAGGTAAACAGAATGTGACCAAGTAGTAAGAATAAAGCATGAGAGGTAACTGACAGACAAAAACATTCAAATCAAGAATGAAAGAAAATGATGTAAGGACAGGAATACATATAAAATGGCATGAGGTGGTGGACGACAGAGAGTGGCATGGTAAAACAGGAAGGAATAGGTGAAGAGGAAGCCACAGATGCACTGTCCCTCTTGCAGTAGCCAGTCACACCTGCCAATGCTCATTTTTGTGACTATGCAACTGGAGCCAGAGTACTAGCTGCAAACCACAAAAATGACACTGGTAGGTGTTAAAATACAAACCTATCAACCTGCACACTGGGAAAGAGGGAGAGAGAGAGAGCTGATGTGATGCATAGGATATGAAACACACCATGCAGATAAAAGAAGAAGAATGTGATGAGGAAGAGCCAAACTCGCTGATGTGTTAGGGTACCAGTAAGACAATGCATTATTATTCCACACACTGCATCCTTGCCACCTGTTGGCTCCACTTGCTGTTTAATTATTGAGAAGGTTTGACTCTTGAGGCACTTCAAGGGCACATGTGGGATAGTTGATTTCTTACCGACGGAAGTCTAACAGTGGTCTTGTGGAGGTGGGGATGCCGTCAGCGGGCCAGCTCAGCAGGTGAAACTGCGTCAAGGTTCTGGTCTCCTGCGTCTGGACGTTCTTCAGGTAAAAGCTACGCACCAGGAAGTCCTTACACCAGATGTGCTCAGACACCAAGTTCACCTGATGAATACAAAGGTATACGGGGGAAGAGAGACAGGAAGGAAGGACAGACGCAGAGGAGAAATGGACTTTAATTTAAGAGGGTAAAGAAAATGTGAGATAACGGATGATACATTTAAACCAAAGTCGACACTAGGAAAACATACATGTGTTAAAGAGAAAAGGCCTGTTGTAAATACAAACGTGATTAAACAATTCCGTAAGTAACCTCTCTAAGGGGAATTCACACAATTCAAGATGGAGGAATTGCCAAATTCAAATGTTTTACTGAAGTCGAAATGATCACATTCAAATGTGTAGTTTATTTCATACATGTGACTTATTTCTTTAAAATCTTTAATAGATATTATTTACAGTTATCATTAGCCTCTTAACATATACGTTAAATAAAACTATTATGACAACAGGTCTAATGCAGGGATTATTCCTACTACACTGAATGCTTATTACCAGAAGAGCATTATTAAACCACACCAAGCTAAATGTGAATGTGAACATAGTGAGTTGCGACAGGAAATGAACCTCGTAGATGTGGTAGAGTGATGAGCCCTCATCAGGCCAGTACCGCTCGCACTGTTTCTCTCCGTCTTCCACCAGAGCCGTCATCATCACTATCACTGTGCAGCCGTTCTCCCACACCATCTGCCGGTTGGAGAGACCATACACACACACAAAGGGATGTAAACACAATGTGAGTACAAGGCACAGATGTTCCCTGCAGATGGACTACATGGTCCAATGGCCTACATTATTTCAATTTGTCAGTGAGCAGCAAGTACATCCTCTAACTTGGGAGTAAGACAGGAAAATAACTTGGGAAGGATTCAAACCGACCTGCCAGAAATCAGCGACAGTGTGAGCCATTGGTCCCTGTGTGGCGATGTAAGATGGCTGGCGAGGGTCATGGTCAAACTATGGGTTAAAGAAAAAAAGGAAGAGAGAAGAGATTTGAAAGGTTTTTCTTTCTGAGGATTCTAACGCTTCAAAATGTTTCCTTGGCTTCTTGAGCAGGGATTGGATTTGACAGATTACACTTGAATTAGGTTTTAGTGTCCGATGCTGATAGAGGGACAGGCTTTGGCATTGCAGGTTGAAAAACAGAATCAAACTGTACGACACATCCAAAAAGCTACATTTTCTGTTGTAACAAAGACTTCATTTTATGCTAAATTCACTACAATGAACAACAGTGTAACTTCAGTTCCAATATAAACATAGGTCGAGTACATTAGAAATGATAATCAAAGACTATGTATTAAGTTTTAACTATGACATAGTTTATTGGGGTTACAAACCATACATTATAAATATCAGCAGATACTGTAAATGCTTTAGATTGTTTCAGGGCTTCTTACAATGAGGTTGGCGTTGATGTAGTCTTGTTTATTGGAGTTTACTTCAGTCTTCAACTTCACCCGAGTGTGATCATCTGTAAAAGAAAACTTGTCAAGAATGAGTCACTGAATTAATCACTTTTCAGCAGGGTGATCTATGATTGATCTAGCAGCAGCATCACAGAGAAAGACAGGAAATAAAAAGAGTGACACATTGATGAACTCACAGGGGATGGATTCAGCGTGTCTGTTTTTGTCCATGTTGCTCGGAGCTTGAGCTACAGCCACTGAACAGGGGTCGGCCTGGTATGAGCACAAAGCCTCCCACTCCCTCTGGAGACGGTCCTTATTACGCAGGTGATCCTCCATATAAGCCTGCCGGAGAGATGAAAGGGGAATAATGTGTAGGAGGTTTTGAACAGCAAAGGAAAAAGAAGATTTTTTTGCTACAGGAAGAACATTTCCACTCTCAGAGATGGCAAAAGTACACACATTCTTTACTCAAGTAGAAGTACAGATACGTGTTTAAAAATACTCTGACTAAAATTCTTTACTCAAGTAAAAGTAAAGAAGTATGGGCTTCGAAATGTACTTAAGTAAAAAGTACCCATAACTACCAGCTGTTTTATAGAGTAACTGACCTCCCTTTATATTAATAGAACAATAATGTCATTGTTAGCTAATTAATGTTTCGATGCTGAACAACAGCAAAATTACAAAGTTCTCATTGGTCCCTCTTGTTTAGAGAAGACCAGGAAATGATGGATACACGGATCGTGTTCAAATCAATAGGCACGCAATGACTCTAAATAATAATGATCACGCCACTAAACACAGATTAAAACTAAAGTAACAAACCTGTTTTGAAAATGTAAGAAGTAGAAAGTACAGGTATTTGTGTTAAAAATGTAAGAAGTTAAAAGTAAAAAGTAGTAGTGGAGTAAAATACTGATACCAGAAAAATGTACTTAAAGGTCCCCTATTATACTCTTTTTCATCAATATATAATAGTTCTCAGTTATATACAAAACATGTCTCTGAAGTGTTTGGCTCCAAATACCAAACAGATCATGCATTGTAGCATCCCATAAACCCCTCTGTTTCAGCCCTGTTTAAAAAATGCTGATTCTGTGTCTGTTACTTTAGATGAAAATAAGGTTCCCAACACCCCTCTGAGAAATATTTTGTTAAAAAGAACACAATGGTGCTCTAGGAGGAGATTCAGGTGATAAGGTTGGCGGGGTTACCTTGATTGGTGATTGGCTAATGGTTACACAATCCAAAAAAACTTTATGACATCATAAAGTGGGCAAAATCTGATCAGCTCATTTTCAGACAAAATGAGAGGGGGTCTTTCTTCCTGAAACTTTCAGAATCTCTTTACACAGAGGGGACACATATTTATGTAAAAAAGACATGAAAAAGTGGATTTTGCATAATAGGTGAGCTTTAAGTACAGTAACGAAGTATTTGTACTCCACTACTTCCCACCTCTGTCCACTCTGATTCACTCACCAGTATCATGTGACCAGTAGAGATGTCCATGTTGGACTGGGCCGGCTCTTCGCTCCAGGACGGGGTGGAGCTGTGGGTGGAGGACGGGCTGTGTTGGGGACCGTCACTGAACTGAGAGGAAACGCTGCTGACGCGGGAAGTGTCCGTACCCCTCCGCCCCCCCGCACCTGTGCCAATGGCAGAGCCCGCCAGGCCGCCACTCACTCCGGCCATACATTCCTGGCGGGACAAGGAGGATTTGGACGCCATGTGCTGCCGACATAGCTCCTGGGAGGAAGGTAGGGAGAGGAAGTGGTAGAACAGTAAAAAAAAAAAAAGGTTGTTAATTCATACCAGGGCAACTATTTGTTTGTAATTAGATAGATAGATAGATGAAAAATAAATAAAATAGCATTAAAAAGTACAAAATATATATATATATATACGTGGATGTGGAAAATATACATGTGGGAATACACATTTCCAGTAACAAATATAATGCAGGATATTATTGTGCAAGAAATTGATTATTCAATATTAAATTGAATATAAATGTAAAATGTACAGTGGGAGTTTAAGTCCAGTTATCAAATAATTGCCTGATCTTGGAGACATGTTTTTCAATGTAGCCTAAATGCTTTCAATAACCGCCCTTTTGACCATACATTATATGGTTTCTTCCATTTTTCCATGAAATGCTGGAACAAACGATATAAAAAGGCCTTTCCCACAGTGGTGAATGTTCTTACCTGGTAGTCAAAGTGTGTTTCTGCTCCTCCCTCTGGCCCCAGTCCAAGCTTGCCATTGGCCACTTGTTGAGCGTGGTGCCTGAAACAAGCTACAGCCATAGCCAATACCAGCACGCCTCCGACGACTGCCATGGAAACAAGGGTGATGACTGTGCCGCTGGAGCCCTGGGAAACCTTGGTTACCTGAGGGAGACCCCGTGCATCTATCCTCTAGGAAAAACACATCATAAAGAGCATTGTGTGAGCTATAGCCAGCTTTGAAAACACATTCACCAAAGTGCTATCTCGATTTGTTGACACACACATTTGCCTTTTATGAGTAGTCGATCTCAGATAAGCTACCTCTGGGATTCTGCCCCTGCCACTGGAATTAAAGGTCACTCATTTCACATGACAGCAAGGTGTGCTCAGTGAGTTTGATGTTGACATTTACTGTAGAGACAGAGGTCTGAGAAGTCAAGGTAATATGAACCAGGGAGTCGTTAAACAGACAGCAGTGTGTCATTCCACCTCTTCTTCATCTCCTCTTTTATCTTTCAAAACGGTTTTCATCATGCCGCCACAGCAGAATTCAAAGCAAAATAAAACGTCTCCTGAAAAAAATCACCCCCGCTCTTTCTTCGTTGATGAGTGTGAGTCTAATACTTAAATCAGTATACATATCATGCTTTCATTTTAATTTAAATAATGGATGAGTTAACACGTATAGCCAGCATATACCATTAATGCATATGCAGGACAATCGCAATATCTCATCAGCCTAGAATTCAATTGTTTTTTAAGTTGGTAGTTATGCTAAATTGGCATTTTCTTATCAATCCAACAAAGTAAGAGATGAAGGCAATGATTCAGAGATCTGAAATCAATCTATTTCTGTGAGTAATGAGGTTGATGACACCAGTGACTGTTGCCATAGCACCTGGGATCCGGGAGTCACAATAGGGGGTTGGATTAGGAAGTGAAGCACCATGGCAACAATGCAGTGATGGTTATGAGGTGCAGACTTGCTGATTTGTTCTGGCCACTTGCCCTCCAGGTGGCCCACACTCAGAGGGGCATACACTCACAGACAAACACCCACACACAATATTACAGCACAATGTGATGGTGGATGGAAAACTGAATGTGCTGCAGAATAGAACAGTACATTGCTTGTGGTAGTAAAGTCATTTGAAATAATAATGGTTTTGATGATTAAGCTAATCCTGATGTAGCAGTTGTTGTATAACCTTTTTTTCGGGATGACAAGTGACCTTTCCAAATCTTTACCAAAGCAGTGTAATAGTGTAAGGGAAATACAGTATTATTGAACTAATCAAAATGTTCTCACCGAGAGGTAATACATATTTACTCATTTGAAAATCCACCATATCCTTCAGCGTTGTGTCCGATTTGTACTGGGTGTTCTCAACACTAACTCACCCAATTGTGTTTCTAAACCATGTTACAAGCAGCCATTTTATAGTAGGCTACCAGCAACATGACCTGATGCAAATGACTTAACATCTCTGGGAAACAGAATCAAGCCGTCCGCAGCTACAAAAGACAGCCATTAATAGAGTGAGGTAGATCCATTAGCTGGTGGTCTGTCGGGAGTCTAAACTGACACTGGCAAGTCTGATCATCTGCCGAGATAGGGTCCATCAATTATTAGATGTAAATGAGATGGTATGGATAGCAGAGAAGTGATTATATCTCTGTTGCCTTGACAACTGCTTCATGTGTTACTGAAAGCAGGGGTTACTGAGGATATGTCCCTTTAAGTTTATGTGTGTTTGTGTGTATCACATACCTCTCCTACACCGGTCTGTTTAATCTTCAGGCCTGTTTCAGACTCCAGGAAGTTCTTTTCAGATACTGTTGGGGTGAAAAAACAACCAACAGTTTTGTATTTGTGTCACAAAATTGCAAGTTAGGTGAAATTATGTCAATCTTGCACTAATGTACATTCCCAAAGATATTGAAGTGACTGTTATTTTGTATATATTGATTGTTATGCTTTTATCTTAATGTGTGCATATGTATAAATGTGTCTGTTGATTGTGTATAGGATATACATATTTGTATACATATTTGTATTTTTGTATTCGGGATTGTGGGAAACGGTATTTCGATCTCTCTGTCTCTACACACAAACTGAAAGATTGACAATAAAGTTGACTTTGACTTATTATTATTTTAGGCAAAACTATGAAAGCAACACCAAAATAAGCCTACATAGTATTCACTATGTCCGGCAGTGGCTCAGTCAGTAGGGGCTTGGACTGGGAGCCGTAGGGTCGCTGGTTCAAGTCCCCGACCAGACCTAAATATGGAGTGTGGACTTCTACTTGGAGAGGTCCCAGTTCACCTCCTGCCCTGCCGTGGTGCCCTTGAGCAAGGCACTGGACACCCCCCTTCCCCCCCACTCCCATTGCTCCCCGGGCGCTGTACAATAGCTGCCCACTGCTCCTAGTACTAGACTCCTGGTACTAGGATGGGTTAAAAGCAGAGGCCAAATTTCACTGTGTGTGCTGTGTGCTCTGCATGTGTGACCATTAAAGAGGGTTTCATCCCTCCCTATTCTATTCGTTTGTGTGTGTTTTTGAGCCTCACCAGCTTTAGCAGCCACCTCTGCAGCCGTCATGTTGTGTTCATTCTGGCGGATACGAAACGTCAGAGCAGAGCCGACCACACTGTCAATATAAAACAACAGGGACACACATGTTGGATGCTTATTGTTACGAGTAAAATAATACAATTGTACTACTCTCACACACAGATACACACTTTACAGGGGTGTTACCTGATGTTGATGAAGCTGTTGGTTGACAGGTGTATCTTATCAGCCAGTAGCTCCAACAGCTTGAAGCCATCATACAAACTCAGAGGACTAGGATTGAAAAACATGATGAAGCTTCTTTAAAACATAATTTATTAAATGTCCTATTCGCTGCTCTTGGCAGTACATGACCCTTAAAGGTCCCCTATTATACTGTTTTTCATCAATATATTATAGGTCTCAGATATATTCAAAACATGTCTCTGAAGTGTTTGGCTCCAAATACCAAACAGATCATTGTAGCATCCCATAATCCCCTCTGTTTCAGCCCTGTTTCAAAAGTGCTGATTCTGTGTCTGTGACTTTAGATGAAAATAAGGAGCCACTCCCCACGCCCCTCTGAGAGATTTTATTTGGTTAAAAAGAACAAAATGGTGCTCTAGGAGGAGATTCGGTTATTGGCTAATGGTTACACAAGCCAAAACATCGTTATGACATCATAAAGTGGCCAAAATCTGATCAGCTCATTTTCAGACAGGTTTTTATTTAAATGGATAAGGGCAAAAAGGGGGGGGGGGGACACATGTTTATGTATAAAATACATGAAAAAGTGGATTTTGCATAATAGGTGATCTTTAATGGTGTTAGCTATTGCCACTTCAATATCAGCCTGTAGCATTACACCGTTTGCACTTAGAATGAATTACATCTTGGCTGACGATAATTATTGGCTCAACAGGAAGTAGCGTGATTTAATCCGATTATTTGTTATAGAAATAAGAGCTGAATTTTAATGAAAGCTTACCTTTGGTTGGTGACGATGTACCCATACTGCTCCTTGGCTCCTGTACCCTCCACCAGTGGCACCCCTTGCTCCTTCAAGTCTTTTCCAGCTTCAGCAGGAGCGGCCTGGGGGCGCTGGGAGGTAGAAGGGGGCCGGTGGACGCTCTTGGCTGGTGATGTAACTGAAACTGAAGCAGAGGAGGGCGCAGGAGGGGCCTCGGGGGGACCAGGGACAGGGACAGGGACAGGCTTTGCCGGCTTCTGGGCCACACTGTCTGTTTTTAACAGCTGCATCTAAGAGGGAATGATAGAAACCTGTTAGTGAACAAAGAAAAAGTTTGATAGCTTTTTGTGAATGCTACTGAATTGAGGCTGACTTACCTCCTTGAGGGCGAGGAGGTCTTTCTCCATTGGTTCTGTGTTAAGACAGACAAACTGGTGTTTTTAAACAGTAAAATATAACACAATTTCAGTAGCTTTTTACTCATACCATCTACTCCTACATATGTACAGATTTAGATGCTAAAGCTCAATATTGCAACTCTATTAACCCACGTGTGTTAAGAGTATAGGAAGCGATAAGGGACTCGGTATGACTGTTTGTCAATTTGAACTAATTGAAAGACTACCTGTTTTCTCTTTGGCTTGCATCAGCTGCAGAATGAGGGCTAGCTTGTAGAGCTGCTCCTGACTGAGCTCTCTGGGGTCCACTCCGTACCTCTGCAAGACCCCTGACATCCTCTGAAGAAGGCCATCTACAGCATGATAGCAAAATTAGCAATATCTTTACACTGTACAATTTAGAAAATCAAATGGATGTTCCACACACATACACTGTGTATGTACGAACCACTTGGCTACTTTCTATATATTTGTCTTACAAGACATTCTGTGACACATCATGTCAATTCAATTTAAGTTAAATTATGTTTCCTTTTTCCTCACCATTGGTTCCAGACTGAGTGCTGATGTCCTGAGGAACCTTTTTGTTCTGCAGCGGTTGCTGTCTTCCAGCAGTACCAAGTCTCTCCTCTAGGGTGTAGTCTTCTACATAGTCCACTGGCATCTCCAAGTCCTCATAATAAGGTATAGCTGCTCAAAGCATCATACAGTAGGTTATGATGGTAAAATGAATCGTGAAGGTTTAAAGTTTCTTACTGTTCAACAAATAGACTCTAAATGACAGTTTGTTGTCCAGGAAAATATGTAATTTAATGTTTTTATTGTTCTTAAACAGCTTTTTAGCCAAGTGTTTTATTTCAGAAAATAGAAAATCCTGTTTACCTGCAGGAGCTATGGCAGCGGCCCCTCTGTGGCGATAAGAGGGCTGTGCAGACGCCATGTAGAGAGAAAAGGCTTCCTGTAGCAGCTGCCTGTCACGCTCTCGCTCTCTCTGATTGGCCTGGGACCTTGAAGAGGGACGGCCATAACCATTTCCTGCTCCTATGAGGGATCTCTCCACTTCGTCTTGATATCTATGCTGCAATCAAGAGAAGTATCCAATGATTTACTACGGTGGGCAGGCATGAGTGGGAATTTTAAGATTATAACTTTTTTATATTCTTTATATGTATTTCTGTGTTCTCTCGTTTATTAGCAATAATCTTTAATACAAGTGTTCTAATAACCGCAATTACATTGTTCTAGGATGATCTTCAATGTTTTTTTTTCTAGATTGTGATGTACTTTTTCATTTAAGTTTGGAACGTATCTGTGATCTGTGAAACCTGCTGTTGGACCTTTATGATGTGTAGCTGTACCTGGTGGTATGTGTATGGGTCCATGGAGGCTGTCTGCATACGTAGAGGGGTTTGAGGAGGCTCAACAATCATGTAGTCCAAATAGTTGCCACCAGGAGGTGCAGACCCAGACTTAGAACTGTGGGGGTGGGGGGTGTTCTGTTTGGACCTGGCAACCCAGAGAGAAATGAAAAGAGGAATGGAATAGGTTGAAAGGAGGGAAGGATAAAAGGTAGGGCCAGAGGGAAATACATTGCCCTGAGTTCATCCTATATCATATTTGTTGTGTGTAAAATGTACATTTCTACCTTAAAGTGGACCTATCATGCTATATTTGAATAATATATTGTAGGGCCATACCTATATAAAACATGTCTGTGAAGTTTTTTTTTCAAAATACCAAACAGATCATGCATTTTAGCCATGCCTCATTTCGCTCTATTTGCTCTTTTCCAGCCCTGTTTTTGCAAGGGCTGATTCTGTGAGAAGTCTTCTTCGCTGCTTTTGTGGCAGACTACAGCGCCACTTACAGGCTTGGCATATGTACTACAGCGTCTCCGGCGCTTTCGAGCGGCAATGGCCGTGGCCGTGGCCCAACCCCCCATTCCCCTGATAGGTGGAGAGTTGCCCATATAGGCGGAGCACCCCGTTTCTGACTTTCAAATCTGAATCAGTTCCGTTGCAGCCCCGTTTTTTGAGATTTGGGTATGGAGGAAAAGAGAGAGGGTTGTGTTTTCTGACACTTGGTGAGTTCCCTGACACACCGGGGACACATATTCATGTATAAAAGACGTACAAAAGTGCATTTTGCATGATAGGTCACCTTTAATATCTTAATATGTAAATGGTGGGCACTTACTGAGACGAAACAGAAGAGGACGAAGAGGACTTTGGCTTGGAGGTATGGGTTGTATGGGGAACTCTCTTCAGCTCCTTTGATAAAATATACTGGGTGATGTCATCTTGCCAGGAAAAACCTGCAAAAAAACACACAAACACACAGCAATTAAAGAAACTGAGAGCGAGAGTGCAAGGCCGTGGTGGAGTGGAGGAGAAAGAGATAAAGATTCCCTGAAATCGATACTGTTTTCTAAGAATGTGTTGAAGTGCCTGTGAAATTAACAAATGTCTTCCAGTACACTGTAAGCCTAAAACTGCTGCACGATTTTGTGTTTAGTGCCGGAATAATGACATGATACATTTAAATGCTAACAATGGTAAACATTAAGCCTGTTTAACATCAACATTTTAGCATTTTCATTTGGAGCACACTCAAAACCATTTGAAATGTTGACCTTAATTAAATGTATTATGTCAACAGATTTCACATCATTTTATTAGGTTAGTTTAACATTTAAATACAAAACCAATAGGTTCATCTTAATACTATTGCTTTCAACTAATCTAATATAATAATGTGGAACCTGTTGACATATTACATTTAATTCAAATCAACGTTTACTTTTTGCAGTGCATGTTAGCATGCAATCAAAGCACAGCTGTATCAAAATACAGCCTCACTATTTTAGAGTCTCGGGCTTGTTTAACAGTCTTTTTGTATTGGCTTCTTAGTAGAGAGTGTAGTGGAAAACTTTATAACAGTGTATACTTATAAACTTTATATGTAATGGCAAACTCTATATGTAGTGTAAACTTTATATGATGTGCAAACTAACTTTACGTGTTACCTAATATGGTAAAATGCTATGCAGTTGTCCCATGAGGAGGTATTTTAATCCATGCCCTCTGTTCAACATATAACTAGCCTTAAGGATGTCTGGGGGTGAAACAGGGTCGTAAGCAAAAGTGAAGAAGTGTCTCAAACGAGTTCCTGTGTTTGTTTCCCCTGTCTTGCAATGAATTCCTCATTCCTTGTTTATATCTGTTTTGACCTCTCTATGACTTCCTGCTGTCCTCATTTCACCTGGCTTTAACACATTGGGGGTTAAAGTTTCAACACTTCCATCTGTCTTTACCCAGTTCCTGTTTTACTAAGTTCCTGATTTACTACATTGCCCATATGTGGCTTCTGTTCCTCTGGAATGTGGGCTTTAGCTTATCTGCCCATCCAGCCTCCCCAGAGTGACAGGTCACGAGTTATTGTTGAACTGTGGACTGACAAAGATGATATAAAACCTATGCGCAATTCTCTCTCTGTGCGCACTCTTTCAGAATACTCTGTACTCCGTAAGACCTGTGCCTTATTTGAAGCTTCAAATAAAGATCCAGAAAGACAACTCTGTTTCCACCATTTTATTGATTGATCATTCTGATTGTATATCTCCTGAGTATTGACTAGGTCTAAGATTTCCAAAACAAGAGATAGACTGATAGCAGACTGAAATTCAAATATGGCCGATCAACAATGCACCCTAATTCTCATAAACATTGGTCTAAATTACCCACAATTTTGCCCTGTCAAAAAATGCAAGAGAAAATGTTCATGGGTGATCTCACCTTTTACCATGAGCTGTTTTAGGACTTCCTGCATCCTCTTCAGAACAGGAACTGTAACCTGGTACTGGACCAGGTCCTGCCTAGAGCTGAGGCACTGACCGAACAGCCCGTCTGGAATGAAGAAGCACACACATAAACCAATTTAAGCCCTTATTTTTGCCTGTTAAGTATGTAGTGATTTTGTTTTTAAAATGTTAGAATCCAACACAGTTTACAGACAACAAGGAGGAAAAGCACAGGTGTAAAAAACAATACTAATGATGGATGAATTCCGTATTGTTCCTTTAACTACTGGATAACATAAAACAATTGTTAATGTTATTAGTTGTATCTACAGTATGTCAAATGCCTATAGGAAATACAGTCTCTGTTAACAAGTGTTTATTATTAATTAAATAATTTAACATATTGGATTTTAGCTTAAACTGTACAGTTTCCCTAAAATATTTCAGTGAAATTGCCCTAAAGGTACACTACAGTATTTTCTAAAGTGACCGGCAATACTTATGCCCACAGCCCACAGCAGTGAGTCATAGTTTTAAAGTGCAGCCTACACACTTATACTGTCTGTCACTGCTTTTGATGAGGTTCTGCCACTGTCAGTGCGTGTGCTTTAGAAATGTTCATTTGAAACAGTTAATAACGTGATGGCAGCCCATCAACATAAATGATGATAGCATTTGCACAGTATTATTGTCTCTGAAATCTCCTCATTATACGATCATGAATGTATCCATATTTGAACATGTATACATGAAGGAATGTGCCAATTTATGTCAACCTTAGCCCACACAATTACATGCATACACTCTTAAAGCAGAAACAATTATTCATGGATCTGAGGTGTATGATTTAGATGGTTAATCCCTTCTAAACATACATCTGATTATACACAATAAAAAAGGCAGGGATGAGGAAATTCAAGCAGTTCGTATGGATTACTCCTGACAAACTCAGTGTAATTATTCAGCATTAGATAGAAAGGACCCCAAGTAAATGTCAAACAGTGAGTGCGAATCTCAAATGTCTTTTAAATACGAAATCTCAGTGAGTAAATAAATAAAGGAATTTCTGGAAAAAAAGATTGTCAAACTGCGATGAGACAAAGCAGAGCAGGCTACGTATTATCTGGCGCAACGATGAGTCACCACACTGGCTAAATCTCACACATCCCAACCTGCCACAATGAAACTGTGAATTGCTAAACTGAGCAGATAATAGGAGTATTGTGTACAGCCTATTTTCTGCCATTTGATGTATTAGAGAGTAAGGAGAAATATATCTTTACATTGTTTCGGTTTTGCTGCGATAACTCATTTCAGTTGTGAAATAAGGTTAATATCTTTGCATTGTGTTGGAACCAAGTTGATCCTTGACAGTCTGACAAGATATACAGATAAAAACGTGTACATATTTCAAACCCCATAAATCAAATGACAAACAGTCATTGTTGATGATGTGATATGACATTATATCCAGGCAATGAATTGCACTGGGAGGGTAGAAATACGATAGCTCTTATTCCTGACGGGGAACTGGCTCATGACAGAGAGAAGAGGAACATGAGGAGGAGGAATGGAAGATGAATGGAGCAAACGGCACAGTTTGATTGGATTGGGACTATTTCTGGAGCTGGGGTTATTTCTGTGGATATCACTTTTGTGAAGGGGATATACACTAGTGTTCAGCACTGAACAGGGGGTCTCTGTTACATGTGAGAGGAATGCAATATTCGGCTCAAACTATAAACCATAATTGAATGAAATCGAGGTTGAGTAAGCCCCATCGAGAAAAGTATGTGTATTAACAGTAAAGTAATGGCAGACAATATAGGGACATAAAGAACATTGTTTATTTATGATGTTTACTTTTTCGGTTGTAACCTATTTATGTTGACGACACCAACAGCACTGCTGATCTCAGGGCTTGTGGGAGCACCCTAATAAAATGTGCATGAGCTGCAGCTGGGTAGTTATTACAGACCTTGTCAGTTGCCAAGCCATTTCTGGGAGCGGGCCTATGCACACAAAACTCTAATGATAAGGTCAATGTATAACCTTTTCCTGTTTTACGACAGGTATAACGGGGGGTTGCCTGCAACAACAACATAAACCTTGGTCCATGTATAATCATGACCCTACACAGAACCCGAAGCAGGTGAACAACACACACCTTTACCTCTGACTGTCTTTACGAGGGGGTGAGAACAGCGGAAGATAGAGCTTTGTGTCCAAAAGTGCACACTCCACTCCTTCTACCAAATGTATAGCAACCTTACAAACGTATTATCTGTGTGGCATAGAGCCAAGATAGGTGCCAGCCACACGTCCTCTCACAAACAAAGTAAACAACTGCTGAGAGCATCTAAAAAAGCAGTTCATTTTTCCTATAGCGACAGGCAGCAATGCATAATAGGCCTTTAACTCCAAGACACCTGTTTAATTATTCTTGAAAGGAAAAGTGTGGATGCACCGTTGCCAGGATGCCATATAATGAGTTTGCCTCCCTGTCAGTTATGGATGGATTTTAATTATAACTTTCAGTTTTGATTATGATGCTTTGATTTCTAAGCTAAACTAGAAGGCACACTCAGCAGGAGCTAGATGCCCTGTGCACCGGATCAGTCTCTACATAACTAAATACTAACAGACAAAAATTGTTATTGACACTCCAATTCCACACGTGAGTAGACCAGCCTGCTTAAAAAGAACCTGCGAGTGAGGAAGCAGTTGGATTTATATATTGTAATTCAATTAATGCTGAAATTGCTTCTGAAAAGAAAAGAAAAAGAAACATAAACGGCAAATAGCTGTCTTGTGAAATGAAGCGGGCTGCTTTGAAAAGAAAAAGTACAATTATTCATGTGTAGCCTGTTTACACTGATGAATTTGGCAGTTCCATATTTGCATAAGGACACTATACCGTCTTTGAACACATAGACATATTTGTGCCAGTACTAAAGAAAGGAAGGAGGTTTACATTATTTGAATAAGATGCCATTGCTTATAGTAAGTTAATGAAAAAACCAAAAAGCATTAATATGTTGCATTGATTATTCTGTTGCGGCTATTTGTGTCATGCTCTACAACACCGCTTTGTCCTCCTTATCTCAACTCGACACAGTGTCTGCTTAAGTGTTAGTGACAGGTAGACCTGTATGTATCTACAGGGACGCTGCTAAAGAATTAGATCAATTAGTATGTGTTGGTAACAGATTGTTTACAGCTTATCTTGCATTGTATGCTCTTAAAGAGATACAGAGTCAGGTAGAGACAGAGGGTTCATCATACACAAATCCTTTGAGATGTCCTTATTTTTCTCTCAGACCCACAGATGTCCGTAAATACATCCCTGCGTCTGCTGCTGAGCTGCAGGAGCACTGAACCATTTAGTATTCAGTCCAATGGCTGTTCGTGTGCGTAAGTGCAATTTCCACAGAGAAGTGCGTAAGTGTGCGTCAGTGACTCATCACTGTATTGCCACAACAACTGTGGGGGTGTCGACCTCACAATGATGTCAGTGTTGCTATGGAGACAATCGAGCAGGGGAGGGGCTTAGATAAAAACGAGGAAAGGGAAAGGGGCAGGTGACGGTGAGAGATAGACAAACGAGGCTGGGAGAGGGAAGAATCCTTGACAGATATATTCACATACGATATTTGATTTAGCAGTGTGTGTGTGTGTGTGTGTGTGTGTGTGTGTGTGTGTGTGTGTGTGTGTGTGTGTGTGTGTGTGTGTGTGTGTGTGTGTGTGTGTGTGTGTGTGTGTCTGGCAGCATGGTTAATAATTTAATATGTGAAAGACTTATATAAAGGATCAAAAAGTAGGCTGTCTTTTAAGTTTAATGTTTGAGTTCAAGAGAGAGATTTTTTTTTGATTTAGTGTGTGTGTGTGTGTGTGTGTGTGTGTGTGTGTGTGTGTGTGTGTGTGTGTGTGTGTCACTCACCATCAGAGCAGAACTGGTCCCTTGTGCACAGTTTCCTCTCAAACAGGCAACCTAAGGTAGAATGACAAAGAGAGAGCTAATAGGTACTCAGAGTCAAAATCTCTCAAAGCAATATCCATGGCAACCACAGCTTTACCTCATATTTAAAAGGTTGAAATGAGAACACAGTCAATGTCAGATTAACCCTGGTTTACTCAATATAATCAGTTTCAAAGACACTTCACTTATGGAGACTTCATAAGGACATTTTAAAAGCCCCTGTAATAAGCCTTTAACATTGGGCAAAAATTGAAATACAAATGTTGGTCCTGCACAGACAACATCCACATATATCCACAGGTTGAACAGCCATCAGTGGTTTTACAAATATATTTAATAAGCATGAAGATCAAACGTTCACCTACTCATTTGAAATAGGGACACGATTTGTTTTGGGCTATATTGTTATGCTGATTAGGATTGTAATTGAACAGTGTTGTCAGTAGTAGTTTCATACTTACTGTGCATTTTATTTTTAGCTGTTTCACACATTTTGATTTTAGGGTGGTGAGTAACACCTTGGAGGGTTCAGCAGTGTGGGAAGGAGCAGGTGGCTGACGATAGATAGGAGCGTAATACGGCAGAATATGCATGGGTTATTCTGTCTCTGTTTACTCCTTTTAACGTCACGGCTAACATTTTGGGGAAATCACCTTTATTTTCCAAAAAACACAAATACTCCAATAAATAGTAAGAAATCTAAGTGTATGGAGGAAATGACAGATGTATCCCAATTTATTATCCCATTAAATGCAACAATTGGCCGATGAGAAGCTGGTTAACACAAACAGACACCTCAACCTCTATCCTCTAAAAAGAGTGACTCACAGCGGTTTGAGTGACTCACCTGTACTTTCTTTGCATAGAAACACACACGCAAATACACACTTCTCACACACAGTACAAGCGAGTATTGTGTTTCTTTGATGCCTTGTCAAGGTCTTCACTTTCAATCCATGAGGCTATATTTGACGACTAATGGAAAGTCATTTCTAGAATTCCTCATTTCACTTCATGTGGAAGTATTTGTATCTTAAAGCTTCTTAAAGATAAGAACACTGGAGCAAAACAACATGCCCATTATACGAGGGACCCCGGCTATACAAACTGTGGCAGGGTTAGGTATGAAACATGAAATTATCTGAAATAATTAACTATCTGAGTAATTGTAGCAGACAGGGGCTCGCAGAGGGACTGACACAAACATAAAGGAACCACAATGTTGACAATATATTGCATGTAAATGCCAATCTTGGTCATTAGAACTAATTGGCTGTCCAAGAAAAGACAACCAACAATCTTAAACCAATGGGAAACATTTTTCAACCTATTACTTGTTGTTCTTTTCTGGGTATTACAATTAGTTTCCATTTCTTGTTCGCATTTTAGTGTACTGAACCCGCTGATTTTTCTAATTGCAATTTTGATAAAAAAGTAACATGAAGGTCGCAACATTAAATCAATGTTTTTATTCAATAAAATAAAGAAATGTGAACCCTATCCTGTTAACAAATGATCCAATTGATCTCCTAAGTTTGTAAGAATATTTCAGTGGAAGACTGACTGATTATACAGTGTTTTTCATAGCAACAGGACATCCGCCCTTAAGAAAATGTCAGCTCTAACAGAAACCTCCTAATGCGTGTGTGGGGACGGACAATCGGTTGTATGGATGGATGGCTAATCAGATGAACAGATGGATAGATGCTTGTGTGAAAGAGCAGAAGTGGAAGCAAGGAGGCGTTGGATGAGTGGAGAAAGAGGGAAGCAACAGTGACTGATGGTTTCTCTCCATGGTGCTGAGATCTCAGGCCCTTGCAGAATGGCTTCCCATTGAGCTCTCCATTGTTTATTGTTAGCTTGGAAAAAATAAACCATTATAATTTCTTAGATTTTCAATCAATCAATGATGTAGGATTTCTAATGGCAAACAGCACAGAGGGTCCAGTATTGCACCATTATTGTATGTTCAAGTCTGTTTTTATGGATTGAAAGCTATGTTTTGATTAATTGCATACATTATGGTACCCTTGACATTCCCGTTAGCTGCCTTGGAACTCTATTATAAATGCAATCACTACACAGTGTTGAATGTACCACATTTGGATGAAAGATATTAATACTAAAAATTAAAGACAAATTAATAAAAAATGCAATGTATTCCTCAAATGTATATAGGATAAAAGCACAATGTGGAAGGGAATAAACAAAAAAAACTCCTCACTTGTTTTTGCCAGAGAAAACATGCGGGAGAGAAACTAATATTTGGCCTTTCTAAAAGTCAGAAATTCTCACTGAAAACAATTAATATTTCACAAATATTCCCCTATACCTGCGAGACAGTCAGAAAGCAATAGAACTGTCTATGGGAGCAGTACTGTTTAGCTGGTGTAACAATCCACTTGTTGCATCAATGTATCAATAATACATTATTCCAGTTTATTGCATCAATCTACAAGAAAAGAAAAATTATGAAATTATACTCTTTCTTAAGCAATAATCAATATGAATCAGTCAAGCTGAAACTGCTCCTGCTCCCATTGTGAAGAATAATAACATTAACAGCTGCCGGCTGCTGTCCCTGCTCTTTCTCCTGCTGAGGGTAAAATGTAAGGGCGATGCTGTTCATCCATCAGTAAACACAATGTAGGAAACAATTACATTTCATTACTAAAACCCAATACTTAAATTACAATGTATCCTAAACATACTATATATGTTGGTTTTAAACTGTCTTCAGTGATTGATGAGAGAAAAAAAAAGTGACAGATAGATTTTGTTAATTATTTTGTGTTTTAAACCTAATTCTCCATCTACTTTTTGAAAAGTAATAAAAGCATGAGATGGTGGCATGACATTGATCAATATTTTCTAAAATGTTCCAAGGCTGTAAAGAAAAAAAAGAACATTTACTGGAATCAGTTTTGTCCTCCCTTACACTCTTTGCATCCTTGATCTCTGATCCTCCTCAGTTTAATCATATTATCAGACTCCCCATTTACACACATAGCCAACGACTCTTTGGTAAATCATGCACTTCATTTTGGTATAAATACACGAAAAAGCTACAGAAATATTACAGGACACTTAGAACGATGCCACAGGGGATAAAGTATCCTAGAGTAGTAGCCTATGAGACCACCGTGATGTCATTACTTAAAAACACCATGCACCTGTGGGGATATTATATGACATGACAGTGATTTTCTGAAAAGGACCGTGCCATTATCTGCATTATCTCCATCTCCATCATCTTACCGTATCTATCGGAGGTTCCGGGGTGGCACAGCACGGTTAGAAGGAGCAGAGCTCGCCATGGTTTGAGGTGTTGCATGATCCTCTGAAGCCTCCCAGCAGCGGAGGTGATGCAGAGAGAAATATGCGGAGTCCCTTTAGCTTTGGTCCCCACTTTTTAAATCCCCATCATTTTGTCGACTGCTCACATTGCACCCCAATAGCCAATGTGACGGAAAACTATAAGTGAATGGTTAAAAAAAAAAGAATTCTTCCCAGTGAAAAGGAGGGGCGTGAGGATGGGGAGGAGGACCCACAGCGTAGTAGCATATCGACCGCACGACTGCGGAAATAACGTAGAATCTGAAGAAGCTCTGACAGTGGCATCGACCTGCAGCTGCGTCATCAAGGCTCCTCAGAGAGATGGGTGTTTGGTCTATAGTTCACATACACACACGTCATTCATTCATTATTGATAAACGTGCACACATGCACACAAAACGTGGGGTATGCAGCTTGACGTCATGCACAGGTAGGTCCATTCCCCCCAAGTGTCATATTTTAAGCTAATGCTACTTTGAGGCTTAAATTCAATTATTTTTGATAGCTGTTTTTAAGATAGTCTTTAAGATGTGTCTAAGATAGCCTATATTGTTTTCCTAGATACCTGACATTTAAACGTTATGTTTGTTTGTTGACGAACAATAGCTTTCTTTACATAGTCTAACATTTTTAAATGAGCTTTCCCCACAATAATAGTGGAAGGAGGGCTGCTAACAGCAGCTATCCCAAAGGTACATGATGAGGCCCTACACATGTTCAGCCCAGGTGAGACTGCAGTGCACCAAGATCCAATGTGTGGAAAATGTACCATAACATACCATTTAATCTAAAAGAACATTTAAAGTGTGTAATCTCATTAACTAGATAGTTCCAGGGTCATGTCAAGTGGGATAACTTAGACTATTCACTAAACTATTTGCTCCTAAAATCATAGCTATCGTCTTTGTACAACTTGTCTTGCGATCTTGCACCAAGGAATTATCTTATTGAAGGAGCAATACTTCATTATGTACCTTAATTGATTCATTCTGATTGGAATTGCACTAAATAAGGAAAAGAGAGCCACATTTCCACTGAGGAAATGGTGTCACAGCAGTCCTAGTTGTCCTCTTGCTCCCTCTTGTGTTCATTAAAACACAGACAGAAATCAAACTGAACTAAGATAAGATCCAATTGACCTTTATGTATCCCAGTGGGGTAATTCAGGAGTTAAAGCAGCAACAGAGTGAACTTGAAAAACAGGACACTACGGATTCACACAAGGTCAAAAGAAAATAATACAAACAAATAATACAAAAATACAAATGACATAGTTCTGTTAAAACACAACTATGCTCTAACTTAGTGTATATCCCTTGATAAAATACTGTAATGCAAATGTCTTCCCTGCAGTGAATATAGTACTTTGATATTGAGTGTAAAGCCCTGAAACCTGGCCACAATACACCTGGGTTGATATTGCATTGTTCTCAGTGTCATGCCCAATTGAATAGGCTACCATGTACACACCTTTCATGCCCATCAAGTTATTCCAGGTTGCACAGAATAATAGTCTAGTCATTTAAGTCAAGTTATTTGTTCTGCCTTCTGAGCATTTAGCATTTCATGGAAGCAAAGAGCTGTATGATGTAACAGGTGAATAATTATTATGCGACATTTAGAGCACAAAAACATGTTGAATAAAAGGACTGAAAAGTAATACTAATTCAAATAGAAATAGATCTGAACTTGAAAATATTTGTATTCAATTTAAAAGAAAAAACGTCTCTGTGTCAGCAAAGCTCTTACTTTTTAATCTAAGCAAACTAACAGATGTACTGACCGCCCAATAAAAGACTGTTGGCTTTGGTTCTGATATTCCCAAAGTAATCCTATCCTTGGAATACCATAGAACGCAATAAATGTCTGATAATGTCAGAGGATCATGATCGCTTAATCTTCTATGAGTTAACCTGGGCTGAATGTTAAGTGTGCATTGTCCTCTCAGGGGGCAGTTCTCATTTGACTCACATAGGTATATAGGGCAGCTGGACTGGGATAAAGAGGAAGGGGCTGCTCTATCTAGCATGAGTCATGCATCTCATGGTTTGATCTGATGCCGCTGCTGGCCTCAGGCACATTGTGTTGCTACTGGCATTTGATATCATATCCCTAACCCTATGATAAAATCTAAAATAGAACTGGAACAAATTTGCTCTTAAAACATGTCTATTAAAAACATGTTCCAGTTTCCATGTTTCACGCTTGCATGCGATCACCAATGAGCAAACACACACACCTCTGTGTTCCTCTCTCCTTTACTCTCATCTGTTCGTCCTTGTGTCACTCTTGTGCGACAGCTCAACTCATTGGCATGTGTGTATGCATGTTTGGTTGGTTACCGGGCAACTTGCATTCAGTGTTTATGATGGATGAAACCAGCTGAACACCCTTCACCTATACACACTATTTAAATCATATTAAAACATCATAGGATTTTCACAATTTCTCACATCTGCTTTCTCTTCCTATCGTTGTAAGACTGCCGCTATTATCACATTCTGCAGCTGCCAGATCTGAGATACAGTAAGTCTGTACAACTTAGTGTTTATTCTCCCTAACACAGAATAATATACTGTAGGGGTGTTTATGTAATGTTGTCCATGTTATTAAAATATATATATATTTTTGTTTCCCGTGTGCTATGAATAAAAGAGGATCCTCAATCATTTCCCATCATGCCATTTTTACCATCATGTCATCCACACTGGTTGGCTCCAGACTGCGTGAGCATTCCACAGGTCACAGAGCTCCGCACCCTAACCCCAAATACCCCACCCTTGGGATGTGTGGAATGAGCAAAGTACAAATGTCGGGATAAATTGACCTTTCACAATAATGTTTTTATTAATGTTGGTTTGAGACATATACTCCAGGCGGGATCATTGGCAGTGATTGTAAAAGGAGCGGGAGGAGTGGGCTTCAAGATCAACTTAATGAGTGAATATGATATCTGACTGAGTCATTCTTTCATTCTTTAAAGAATCGGAAGTAGGAATAGGAAATAGGAATATAAATGTCTACTGTATAATCCAATTTAATACATTTACTTTTTCAAATAAAATGCCGTGGAAAGGTCTGCTGATATTTAGAACATTATGCAGCATTCCCAAAATAGCAAATTGGCATGGCAGATTACGACTGCTATGTACTGTTGGTATTCTCAGACTTTGTGTGTCTGTGTTTCCAGCCGTGCAGAGATCTGGATGCTAATTTAAGAGCAATTTTCTCGGCTATAGGTCAGATATTGCCCTTGTGTGTGGGGTTGTCAGGCAACACATAGGTAGCTCATATTCTGTGCTGTGCTGATGGGGTGGTCTTTAACAGGGAAACTCCAGGATGACTACTCCAGTCATAACAGGAAATAATCAAATCAAGTCACATCATGATGATATCAGGTTATTGAATGCAATCCATTGCAGTGAAAAGCCTTCACGTCACTTCTGGTATATGAGTTTAGGGGAATAGGAAACAGTTTTAAATAATTACTCATACAATCCTTTAAAAGTGAAGTCACTTGTGGGGGAAGTGTCATCACTTTTTCTTAAGTCCAGCACTGATTCCTTATCTATTTTGGGAGATTACCTGGACAAAATGGGCCTTTGGTGTTGGAACAAGCAAACTCAATGGCCTGTAACCCAGACCCACAAAGGACAGCAATACAAATTATTGGGATAGTGGCATAAAGGTATTATAGTTAACTTAAAAATATGTATTTGAGGTTAAATAAAAGTATCACCGGGCATTTTTTTCCAAGTTATTGGTGTAAAGTATATATTTTGTTCTGATTGTAATATATTTCCTATGACACAGTTGTGCTTTGACACCATTTGTATGTTATCTCATTTGATATTTGATGTCCCAGGACATGTCAGTAAAAGCAGTGTCATAATTTGTATTTTTGTAGCTGGTGTCTGTCTCTGTCTTCAGTCCCATGATCCTTTGGGAAAGCTAAAAATAGAGCTGACACCCCTAGCAGCTGACTGTGCTCTGTGAAATGCAAATACATGCACGACCACACACAAACTCCCACCCCCCTGAACTCTACTACCACACAGAACACATGGATACATATGACACCCATACACACTTCTGTTGTCTCATTCTCATTTCTAAATCTTCGGAATAGTCATAAAGGATTTGCACAAGCTACTGCCAAACATTTTGTCCTCGTAAAAATCTAAACTAGAATTTTTTTTTAATTAATTTTGCATGCAGTTATATTGCCCTTCTGGATTACATTTGTGCGCTCCGATTAAACAAACCAAACATAGGGCGGCTTTGTGCGGGTGTGCATGCATGAAAGCAAGCATGGAACACTTTTCCTAAACTGGAAGTGACTTACTTCAGCCACTGCAGCAGAACATTGTGATAAGAAGTGTGTGTGAGTTCATTAATCACACATTGAAATGTCTGATAACATTTGGATGCTTCAGTGGCAGCCAACTGCTGAGTCATTCTTAGGTTACACACTCAACTGGGGTAGAAGAACAGATATTCCTGCAAGAGTTGAAACATAAGGTTTAAATAGTGGGCAACTAGAGAAGACTGAAGAAGTATGATTACATTGAATCAAAGCCTCTATACCCCAATGGAGACTGGCGCAAAGAGCAGACTTCATGGAGCGATGAAACTTATCTTATGGCCTGTTAGCCTGTGGGTGGAAGACAGTGGAGTTATTTACCTCCTAGGCTCTCTGTGACTGTGTTCAATAAATTGGACGTGAACTATTGACCCCTGTCGGATCAGCCTTGCTTCCTTGGTGGTAGTATAGAAGACAGCGGGACGGCCTGCCATGGCCTGGTCCTGTCCACTATGGTTAGGAGATATGTGAAACTGTGGGAAGGGGGTAGGGGACCCACCAGAATGGCCTAAGGAGGCATTGGTGTGCTCTTCCATGAGATCCAGGCATCCAGCATACTGTCCATGATTTCAGATGGCTTGCTGTCGAGTCCTTGTACAGAGAAGAGCTGGCCAGCCTGCTTAGTGTCAACCAGTGACTGTCAGCCTGAGGGTTTGTGAGTAAGCTCACCACTCTCAAAGCTGCTCTTGAGGGCCGACACCATGTAATAGTTTTTGTGGCATCTGCAGTGATCTCCCAAAGTGCAAACTGGGCTTCTGTCTGGGCGAACCAGGCCAAGGCAGACTACTTTGTTTTCCATGCTTTGAAGAGATGTCTCTAGAAGTTCTGCCAAAATAGAGACAAACAACTTGCATTTTTGTTGTCACAGCTAAAACTCAAGAAAGAACAGTTGAAAGACTTCACTCTTAACACTCTACGTTACCATTGTAACACACTTCAGTGAAAAAAACACATAACATAATTGTATTTTTTGAACCTTTTGTTCTGTCGACTACAACAGTATGTTTTCTAATTGACCAGTTTTGGTGTGTTCAAGCTAGGCTTGATTGACATCTCCCTTACTCTCCTGTTAGTTTCGATGCACTCGTTTGGGCTGGACGACTAACCCTACTATTATTCTTATTGTTCCAAAGAGTTTTGTAAAATCTGCAGTTTGAACATGACTTGAGGTGCAATCAGTGAGATTAATTGAAAACACCTACATGGGTATGCAGGACCTTTAAATGCATAACTTGTGTAGGAAGTTGAACAAATGTTACACCTCTATTTAGTTCTCGAAGATATGTTTAGCATCCTACAGTGCTAGAGTTGTCATCATCGCCATTATCTTTAACATTAACATCAACACATTCACTCACAGTGAGACAGTGAGACATATGGCAGAACAGAGATGCCTCACGAGCCTGGGCCTGCATTTTAGCTGTGAAGCGCTGTGGTTGTCAGAAATGAGCAATGTCTGTAGACCAATAGCATCAAACACTGTCATTCAAACACACACAGACACACACACACACACACACACACACACACACACACACACACACACACACACACACACACACACACACACACACACACACACACACACACACACACACACACACACACACACACTTAGTTGATTTATGCACAGCCATTTTGGAATTTGAGGTCGAGTTTGAACAGATTCTCCTGTCTTTCCAAGTCTAAAATCCAACTTCCAGGGCCGGTTCCAGTCAAAATGTCTGGGCACACAAATATTCTAATTTCCCATGGAGCACACCATAGCTGCCGATTACTAAACTTAAAATAACTAGTGAAACATTAACAAAATAAGTGACTAGACTACAAGATATATATCCAATCTTATGTTGCCATGTGTCTGTTGGAATTGTATTTGGGCAGTTGCAGCAACTTTATAGGGTGATAATATGCTATAAATTCAGCTTTAACCAGGTCATATTACTAACTTTAACGAAATAAATGTGTGGGGACTGTTGGCTTTTAGCTGGTAGAATACTTTTGTAAACCTGGTCAAATAAAGACACAAACGGCTTGATAAAATGTGTATTACAAACTGTTCAAACAATGCATTTATCCAGATCATGCACAGAGAGTGTGTTTGTGTGAGTCTAGTGGAGACCACTCATGATAAAATGGAGAGTGTAAGTGACCTTCCAAGCAGTAGCGCTATCAGTCAGGCTATTCTGCTCCTTATGTAACCAAGGGTAAACACATAACCCGATTGTAGCTCCAAAACTACTGGCAGGGTAACAATTCAAAACATATCAAACATAAATCATATTGCGCAGCATTAAGACGCTTCTAAAGTGATTCGTTTTATGGGATGTAAATGACTACATTAAGAAAGTTTAAGCTTTGAAAAGTAGCTTGGATTAAGATGTCATTTATAAAAAAAAACATCAGTTGTATATCAAAAACATGTATGTGCTTTCATGATCCAGATTCTGTATTACTGTTACAGCTTCAAACTGAATTACGGTAAGTATTCCTTGCCTATTTCAAAAATGCAAAGCTATTTTAAACTGACTTAAAATTAGATGTGATCTATTTAAGTATATCGACATATAGACTGTCGCTCCCCTGTAGATAATATGCCCACAGGATATGGTATTCAGATAGTGTTTATGAAAGAAATATACACACACTAACACACACACCCACACACCCACACATACACTGAAGGCCACCGCCCTTCCCAACTGTTGAAACCCGAACCCTTCAACAGCTGAGTTGAGGGCTCGCAACAGGCAGATGGGGGGAGGAATGAGAGGAGGGGCTGGAGAAAAGATGAGTGGCTGTAGAGAGGGGGAGGAGATATGGAGGAAAAGCCTGTAAAAGAACGGATGATCAAATGGATTTACAAAAAAATATATATAATGTTTTCCTTAAAATGTGGTTATTTATATACAATTTAATTTGTCATATAAAAATAAATAGGTTATGATTTATTATTCTACACATTTCATAGGCAACATGAATGACCAAAAATAATGAGTCATATTAGTAAAAGTGCTTTCTGTTCACAGTGATAAGGACCTAATGAAACTAAAGTTGCACTAAAGCAGGCATATTTCATATTATTGTTTAAAAAAGTTCCTATATATTCTCTATAAATAAAAACAACATTACAGTGTTGCTCATTTATAGTTTGCAAATGATGAAAGTAGTAAATTAGAGTAACCTGGGGTAACATTTCTACTTTCTATGTTGTCGTTGAATTCAATGGACATCTCCAAAATGTTTTCCCAATCTTAAGCCATATCCAGAACAGATCTATGGTGAACGTTGGGTTGGGACCTTGATCAATTCCGGCAGTGATCAATTAACACAATGGGGTTTAAGAACAGTGTAGGAGGAAGTGGAAGAACAGACAGGGGAATGGTGACAGAGGGTGGACGGGCAGGAGGGGTTGGGGTATGAGTGGGTGTGGTATATCTACAAATAGCTGCGCTCAGTGTCTGACATTTCTTCACTAAAGCTCTCTCACAGTTGCCCAGTGGGACAGTTGGTTCTCAGCACCACAAGCGGCTCCATCAAAACCTCAAGACAACCCAACAGTCAACCAGCCATGAGCAAGTCCTACTCCTCTTCGGCCCAGTCGGCCTCCTCGTACCGTCGCACCTTCGGCTCTGGCGTAGGGGCCACCCCAATGCAATCCTCTTTCTCCTCTTCCGGAGGAGCTGGTGGTCGCCGCTCTGCTGCAAGCCACCAGTCTTCCCGAGTCTATGAGGTGAAGAGCACCGGTGTTCCATCCTACTCCGGCTACAGGGTGTCCTCTGGTGCTGGGGGATCTGGGTACGGCTCCTCTTCATCCATGCGCGCCTATTCCGGCGAGAAACTGGACTTCAACCTGGCCGATGCCATGAACCAGGACTTCCTCAGCACAAGGACCAATGAGAAGGCCGAGCTTCAGCACCTCAATGACCGCTTCGCCAGCTACATCGAGAAGGTGCGTTTCCTGGAGCAGCAAAATGCAGTGCTGACGGTGGAGATTGAGCAGCTCAAGGGCCGCGAGGGGCCCGGCCGGGTAGCTGAGATGTTTGAGGAGGAGATGAGGGAGCTGAGGAGGCAAATAGAGACCATCAGCAACCAGAGGGCCCGCGTGGAGGTGGACAGAGACAACCTGGCTGATGACCTGCAGAAACTGAAGCTCAGGTAGGCCAGTGGATGGTTTAATGTGAACCAATGGATGCACCTTTAAAGGGTGGTAATACATAATGAAAAATAGTTGAATGACTCACATGATGCTGAAGATTAAGGAGTGGTTGATAGGAACTGTTCCAGAAAAATAATGAATAACTGAATAGTTTAGAAAGGGTCTTTGGTCACATGTGACTTTTTCTACAGCTGTATTCATCAGAGGTTTCCGACCTTTTGACGCTTTAAAGTAAAGCAATTCCTGCTTCCTTACCTTTGTCATTGGTTTGATATGTCTTTGAGTTGTGAGCAGTGTAACCAAAGAGACATACAACTGGAGAAAAGTCTTCAAACAAGCTCAAGTTAAACTATTTGTAGCAGAATTAATGTACAATGACCTTTCAAGTTTTTCTTGTGACACCTCGGGTGATCTCGACCTCCAGGTTGGCAACAGCTTGTTTACTAGTCTACCCCCAAAACAGAATGCCTCGTTGCTGGATGCTTTTTAGGAAGAGAAATTGTGCTAAATGAAAAGCAGGAGAAATAAGAAAGTGTTTCCCAAATAAATACAATAAAATAAGTAAATTCCAAGCATGTGACTGGGGCAAGTTGCACTTCAATGAGTATTGTAGTCCACACGCTTTGAACAACGGCATTTTTTAAATTTGCTGACAAGAGACATGGCAGAGTAAAAGGAAGAGAGAGTGAGAGAGGGAGATGGAGAGAGAGAGTGTGAGAGAGAGAGAGAGAGAGAGAGAGAGAGGCCCATAGGAATAAAGTTGAGGCAGTCAGACAGACAGACAGCCAATAAACAGAGTTTGTTATTTAAATTTGATGAAAATAATCATTACATAAATCCTAAAGACAGTTTTATATATATGTGTTTATTTGTGTTTATGTGTGGGTGGGTGAGTGTATGTTTCTGACAGAAAGTGTGAGAAAGAGAGAGTGAGATTAAATGTGGATGTATCTCTGATTGGGCTATTTGCAGCTACTAGGTCAGCCTTCTGAATTTTGTATTTCTGTCACTGCGACAGCGAGCTTATATGTACGTGTATACAGAAACACACACACACACACACACACACACACACACACACACACACACACACACACACACACACACACACACACACACACACACACACACACACACACACACACACACACACACACTCACAAACATCCTAATTCAAACACACACATCACAGACACAAACCTTCACTTTTCACTTTCTTTCCAGCAGCCAATTTAAATTGTTGCCAATGAAACCGAAAAAATAACATTGTTTGCTACATACAAAAAGCACAGACCAAAAACAAAAATACTGCATTGATTTAAACTTAACAACCCGTGGAATACCAGAGACTTAAGATACCTTTGAAGTATATGCATACATTTCACGCCTGGATACAGCAGCGGCCAGGGCCAGACCTCTGTTCCCTTACCCTTCTGACACTGACAGTGTGACAGCAGCTGCACATGGGCTGAAAGAGCAAATGTGTGTGAGTGTGTGTGTAGATATGGCTTTAAATAAAAGTTATACGATGTGTCATTGTCTAGTCAGTTCTATTCTTGTTCTAAAAAGAACAGAGAGCCGATAGCTGGAAGAATGAGAGGTGGTAACTAGTTTATCTGTGTCTGGTAATTGGTCTCTGGGGAATAAGCCATGCTCTCCAACACAGATGATGTGTTTTCATACAACTCTTCTTGCTCTTTTCTCTTTAGACTGCAGGAGGAGGTCCACCAGAAGGAAGAGGCTGAGAACAATCTTTCTGCCTTCAGAGCTGTATGTATTGTTATCCCGCAAAATCACAACATTATACCTCAATATTTCTTATATGTTATATTCAAAGCCTGAAGTAAAAACTGAAGCACTACAACTGTCCTTGATTATTCTCTTAACCACTTTCTTCCCCTTATTTCTTGTTCCCCCTGAACTCTTACTCATTTCAGTGGTTCTAATAAAAAATATTGATGTTTCTTTGTTTGTATCCAGGATGTAGACAATGCCACTCTGGCCAGGCTGGACCTGGAGAGGCGCATTGAGAGCCTCCAGGAGGAGATTGCCTTCCTCAAGAAGATCCACGAAGAGGTCTGTTGATTTGTTTATTTGATTTAAAATATGTCAGTATTTCTGCTTACAATCAGTCCACCACATCTTCCGTATGTTTTTACTATGTATGTCAGTAGGACAGTGTGTACTGTCTACTATCATATAACACCTCTGTGCACGGCTGTATGGAAACACTATCTGAGGCTCTGTAGGCATGCAACTCTTCAAAGAGATCAAATATTTCACACTTAAACACACCCACAGATGATAAAGCATATTTATCATGCAAATGTAGATGCAAAAACACTTTCTCTCTCTACACAACAATGCGGGCAGTATGGAAGCAAAGCAAATGTAATAACTGCCGTAGATATTTTGGTGCACTTTCACCCAAAGTCATCAAAGGACAAAACCGTGACACATGCCTGCACAGTTTATGTGCCTCACCATCAGTTTATCATCTCTGCCTTGGCTTTGACGTCTCAGAAATGCTGAACTGACATTTAGTATAGAGGGCATGTCAGCTGCTGTGTGTGTGTGTGTGAGTTAGTTTGTGTGTGTGTGTGTGACAGAAGGAGAAAGAAAAAAAGGAAAAAGAATGTGTGCATGTGAACAGATGCAAAGCTTTTTATATCTTTTGGTTAGACCAGGAGACAGCTGAGTGAAACCAAAGCTTACAATTTGTAAAAAGTTTGAATATTCATTTCGAATTACAATTCAAAATGGTGTCACTGGGCAAATGTGCAGTTTCACATTTTCTCTCTAGTAAATGTCATTGATGTTGGATGCCATACATTGATTTATTGATTCGTTTTAGTTTGAAATCTCCTTTTTTCTTAATGTCGAGTTAGTACAAGTGCTGGCATAAGTGATTAATGTAGACAAGACTTTGCATGTTGTTCTGCCCCTTACAAAAAAAAATGTTTCATAACCTCATACACTTTATTTATTTTTCACCTCTCATTTTGCAGGAGATCCATGAGCTGCAGAGCCAGATGCAGGACACTCAGGTCCAGGTCCAGATGGACATGTCCAAGCCCGACCTGACCGCTGCTCTGAGGGACATCCGCATGCAGTACGAGGGCATCGCCGCCAAGAACATCGGAGAGGCTGAGGAGTGGTACAAGTCTAAGGTAGGGCGGAAGCCAGCTCACTCACACACACACACACACACACACACACACACACACACACACACACACACACACACACACACACACACACACACACACACACACACACACACACACACACACACACACACACACACACACACACACACACACACACACACACACACACACACACACACACACACACACACACACACACACACACACACACACTCACAGGTCATGTGTGGTCTTTAGCTGATACAACCCCCCCTTTCTCCTCAGGTGACTGATCTGAGCCAGGCTGTGAATAAGAACAATGATGCTCTGCGTAACGCCAAGCAGGAGACAATGGAGTTCAGGCACCAGATCCAGTCCTACACCTGTGAGATCGACTCACTCAAGGGCACCGTAAGTACTGAAAGCAACCTCTGTGTTGTTCTATTGCTTTCATTCTGGGTAAGACCCCTTTGTCCCACTTCTAACTTCATGTCTATGTCCCCTGTAGAACGAGTCTCTGCTGCGCCAGATGAGAGAGATGGAGGACCGCACGGGCCGCGAGGCTTCTGGTTACCAGGATAGCATCTCTCGTTTCGAGGAAGAAATTGCTAAGATGAAGGTAACTACCCCATTGACTTCATGCACTATAGCCATTTAAATCTATGAGGTTATAGAAAGCCGCATCAAACTGGTCCACAATTCCGGATATTCTTTTACTCAATGGGAACAATGCCTGTGTTTTTAGAGAGCTATTACAAATATATGATCGAATGTAATATAACTCTGTTGCGTTTGTCCTTGGTGTGATGTTTATCTGAGCAGACAATATAACATTTTATGTATTGACTTAAAGGACGATATGGCTCGTCACCTGAGAGAGTACCAAGACCTTCTCAATGTGAAGATGGCCCTTGATATTGAAATCGCCACCTACCGCAAGCTGCTGGAGGGAGAGGAGAGCAGGTTTGTGTGTGTGGTATTCACATTTGGATGTGTGTGATATTAGAAGGCTTTAGTGTCTTTACTTTCATCTGTCCCAGGGCTGTCATAACCTGACTTTTCAGTAAGTCTGTCATTTTGATTCCCCTCCTATTACCAGCTGAACTCGGTTTTTCTTCTTTTTGCAGGATCACTACCAACATGCCTTCCCAATCTGCTTATTCCTCTATTGGATTCAGAGGTAGGAAAAACACTACACGTGCTTCATGTCTCACATAATAACCGAATACAATTTCACGTTCCAAACGAGTCAATGAGGGGATAAGAAAAAGACTAATAATAGCTTGTGACTGTATATGGCTGGTGCTATTTTGAGGGCATTACATGTTGCAGTGACACATTCTGACCACTGTGGGGAGATATATGACATGTCAGGAAACCTTTGTGGCTTTTTGATGCACTGGGGCAAATATCACCAAGCCACACATCAATAATGACTTAGCCCATTTGCTTGATGTATTAAGAGTTCAAGTGTGCATTTAATCTCTTCTAATTACTTCCACTTTCGCCCCCATTGTGGCTCCTAAAGTAAAAAGCAGTAATTTAAGATAATGTATTAGGTTTCAGCCACGATTCATTCATTATGAGTTTGAATATGTACTCAAGCTGTGTGTTCCTGTCGCTTATTGTGTGAGTCAATGAAGTAGTATAATGTGTGGATGTGTTGTTACAGAGACCAGTCCTGAGTCCCAGAACAAGCGCTCCTCAGAGGTTCACTCCAAGAAGACTGTTCTCATCAAGACCATCGAAACCCGCGATGGCGAGGTGTGAGCGCAAACACACTCACCGATGTTTATTTACATGTGTATACGCATACCATACAATACACCTACATCATATACAGCCCCAGAACACCCAAAGCAATATATACTGTGGCATTAACTGTTTTTAATCTATAAATATCTAGCTGATTTATTTGTATTTGTTATATTCTCATACAGCTGAAATTCTCTATGAGCCAGGGCGCTAGTGCCCAGTCTGTAAGTTACTCACTAATATCCCACCTCCCTTATCTTTTTCTCAGTCAGGGCTGAAAAAAACTACCAGACTTCATTATAGAACAGACTGAAGTTTGCATGTTGCCATGACAGCATGATGGATCCACAGAGTGTTTAAAGCAATCTATGTTTGAAATCTAGGCTGGGCAATCTAGAGAGAACTAAATCACAATATTTTCTATGCAAATAAATCAATATTATGATTGCAGTGGTATTGTAGAATTGACCATTGTAGCTTTCACTACATATTTACAACATTTGGTTTCTGATGAACATATTGACACAAAAAGAAGAGCTAGAACAGACTGGTGGTTTCATAAAAGTACATCCTTAACTTTAATGCAGCCTTTAAAAATCTGAAAATACAACATGTATGCCATTTTATGATATCCAAAAGATAAGACAATATATAGTCTCATATCACAAAATGGATTGCCTATATAGCCCAGCCCTATTTGAAATCATAGCTGCAAAAACCTTTTTGGCCTGTTTACGTAGTAAATCTGGTAGTTTGCCCTGTATATACTCCTATGATTGAACATCAATACCCCACACTGGCTCCCATAAAGCACCTTTACTGTCACTGGCATCTGTTCTTCCCAGACAATCACTTCACCCAGGCACTTCACTCCAAACAATACCTGCTTCACTGTTAACGGAAAATACTCTCACGCATTATCTGCAACACTTTGCACTTATGACATAGATAATGAATATGTTTTCCCTCCATCATAACAATTTACAATACCTCTTCTCTCCTCCTCAGGTTGTGAGCGAGTCCACACAGCACCAGCAAGACATCATGTAAACCAGAAGAGGCAACATCAAAAGCACCATATATTATCAATGAATTACGAAATAGCACACCAATGGACGTCTTCCTAACACAATTTATAAAATAAAACCTATTTTTAGAGCCAGAATGCTGACCATTTTAGCTGATTGAAAAGGAGAACTGTCATTGAAATGAATGCAACTGGTCTTTAGACAATGTACCGTACATCATTAACAGGATAGATGCAGTATTCAGGCAAATGCAGTGCCTTTAGCCTGGTTTTAAAGGAAATGAATTCCAGGAATCATGCTTTATTTGTGTTACTTTCCTTTACCTAAAATCCCTATTATTTACCCATATTTGAAATATCTTGTCTGCATAAATGATGCAATGGCAAGTGTAAAGTTGGAAATGATCATCAAGGCTTGGTGTAGCTGTATTGGCCCAGTATCCAAAGAGGCGTTTGCACGATGCGAGTAACAGTACTTTTCTCTGCACATATTCCAAGCATTTCTGTGCAAATGTATAAGTAAATGAATTGATTAAGAAAGGCTTTTATTTGTGTAATGACTGTGAGATGTCAGAAACACAAGCCTATAATGAGAGAGGAACTTAGGCATGTTTAAAGTTTGAGCTCAATGGCATGTTCTGGGTGTTTAATTGTATGAGGGTGACCATGTTGTGGCCAAAAACTCAAATAAAGACATTTGTAACCATCGTGTGTCCCTTGTGTCAGCCAGTTTCTTAAGATGTCTTCATAAAAGGATATTGTTTTGTGTGTGTGTACATATAGTCCGAGACAGTCTTCTTTTTAAACTCATTAGTATTCCTCAGATAGCGCGCAAAACTTCTTTATGAACTGTTCCTGCTCGCTGCATTTATCATCTGATGTGGGCTGGAGTTAGCTTTCTAAAAGGATATTTGCTTTCCCAGCCGAGCGCAACCCTCTTCTGTTAACATTTAAGGCACTTTTATAAAGAAAATATGAGAAACAGGAGTGATCTCAGTGCAGGGGAAAGTGAAAAATGGCTCCTTAATGAGTTTGCGGGGGTCAGCTTTGTTTTCAGTGGAAAGCAGATTAGCAGAGCATCAACAATGATATAGTCTGTGTGGTTTGTGTCTGAAGTTACTGGACTGAAACTATTAACAAAGATTGGGGGGGGTGGAGAAGGAGGGAGTAAAGAAAGATACAGTAGACAGCATGAAAGGCAAGACCAAGATGGTGGTACAGAGAGCAAACGGGAAAGAAAAGGCGTACAGAGAAAATAAAAAGGACAGAAAAAGAGACCAGAACGATTTAGAGGGAGATAATTAGGCAGAACAAAGAAAGAAACCGACAGATAGAAAGCGAGAGATGGCTTTTCCAGTAGCAATGTTGAGCAAAACTTGGCAATTACTGTCTGTTCACAACTGCTGCCACTGCCAACAGCTTCCCAATCATTATGAGTCAATAAAACGGGTAACATGTGCTGCTTATATTTCCTTCAAATGAACTCAGCTGACCTCAGTGACCTCTCCTCTATCAGCTGCTAAAGTACCTGTTGAGGTTCAGGCGTAATATGTGGCTCCTTTTATTGTGCTGCTTGAAGGTTATTTTTTACTGATTAGATTTTTATATGACAAACTCAGTGTACAAGCTCCAAATGTAGCCTGACACCTACTGTCAGACCACTTTATTGCATATGTGAAGTAAGAACGAGTCATGAAGATGGACTCAAGATGCTACATTTTATCATGTTATGCAAGCATTTTTATAGATTATAGATTTTACAGATTATCTAAACAATCTGACAATGACAAATTAGCTGGTTTTAGTAGTGCGAAACGCTTACATCTGTTGCCTGAACTTGTATGTAAAATGAAATCGGTTGGTGGGATTATTTGGTATGTGTACTGGGTAAAATCAGCCCTGTGATCACTGTGTAAGAAAAGTAAAGAAAAACAAGACCAATAGATTGTAGAATCACAATGTTTATCATAGTTTAGGTCCATATAAATTCATGCTATCAATAATCATAATAATAATAATGATAATTATAATAACCATTGTCTTCAGGTGTTTTTTTACACATTTAAACAGGGTGGTAGGAAAATGAATTGCAATATCTTCTAAAAAATATGGAGTAATGAGTAATCACTGATTAAAAAGAGTCAAGGCTCAGTTTGTTTTTGCTGATTTTCAACATCACACGTTGAAACAAAAGCATGAGAATGATACAAGTGCACCCACCATCCAGTCAAACTAATTGGACATACAGTAGTAACGCAATATAAAAAAGATCTAATCCAATCAGCTGGATACATTACATAAGTGACCATGATGTAAACATGAAAATTAAATTATTTACAGTTCAATATCTACAACAAGTGTTTTCCATACATATGTTCAGCAGTTATGGGCAATCACAAAAAGTATTAGTAGAAAGAAAAGCAAACGATAATGATGTTACAAGCGCACTACAGTAAAACCCCAAAAGAAGAACCAAACAGGACTCACATGTTAGCAAAGCCCCTAATACAACTTCAACAGCCACTACTGCAAAACATTATAGGCGTAACATTGATACAGTAGAAAGGAAGGTGGCTTAGCATAATGCATGTTGAGAGGAGGGAAATTATTCATATTATGCCTTTTCAAAGCCCTTTACATGGACAAGTTTAAACAGAGAGAGGAGAAGATAAAATAAATTGGTCCTATCAAGATTCACTATAGATGTTACCTTTTCTGTATGCTGTGGATATTGAGACACTTCATTAGACGTACTTCCACAATATTCCTTCAGTCAATGTGGATTGGGACCAACAAACTCAAAATGGAAATCTGAGGTTTTCACATGACGACAGTGACACATTGAAACATCGACACATTGGACAAAGTTACACAAGGGTTCTCATGCAGTTATGGGTTAAGGTGAGAATGATTGGTCCTTCCAGTGATTAGCCACATCCCTTCAACTATTAAGAATTTAAGTACAGTACCGTGGAATATTTTTGTACATCTAAAACTCATAAAAGGTAAACTCCGACATAAAAAGGACGTAAAACACAATCCAAGTGATCATAATCTAGTTACAGTACCATTTAGTCTCAGTAGGAATTGTAACATTAGTAGTGCTTTTTGTTTATTCTAGGAAACTACAGTAACTTAAGTCAAAACAGGTTAAAATAAAACTAAAATATCTCCTTTGTACTGAGAGAATTCCTGTGCAAATCTAACTTCCCTTCAGTACCACGATTGTAACGTTCGGAGCAGATCAGTATTCAAATGCAACTGACACGCAACATAACACACAATATAAACAGATAAACAATAAGTCAAGAACAAAAAGGTCCAGCAGTAAACATTAGAGGGCGCCATTTGCAAATGATTTCATCTTTTCACCATGTCTTGACATTTACAGGAGATTATGTTGCTTCTTCTCATTTTCATCACTTTACACTTCATCCAATCTATAAAATTCACATCTTTACTGAACCTGTATATATTAGCAAAAAGAAGAAACACCATACAGCATGTTTTACATACATTTCAATGAATCCCCCTCTCTGCCAATAAGTGGTGCAATCCGTCACTTGCCACAGGGCTTCTGCTCATACTCTCACACAGCAACACACTATATTAACCATATTTACTGCCATGCATTGTCCCCTCTGAAGCAAATGTCACATTTCTGGATGACCAGTATCCGAGAGCAGTTTCTTGTCTCTCTGCCTTAACATCATACTGTTGACAAATTCACAACATGTAGATAGTCTTTAGGATTAAGAAGGATGAAAGCAACACGAGAGCACTTACAAAAACATGTCGACAAAGATAATTACATAAAGTAGCTTACAAAAAAGCTTTAAATTCCAGGAAAAGAAGAAAGAAGAAGAAGGGTACGGATGTTTCTTCTGCTCAGGTCCGTGGTTATAACAGCCGGCGATCGAGGGCAAAGGGAACTGATGACACGTAAGCACATTTCCCTTGGAAATTGGCATTAATGTAGGCGGTGATACATGGAGTGTTCATGGATGGGATAACATAACAAATTGTCTACGGGGTGAACTCTTTGATCCATGCTCACCTGAAAGCAGTCCCAGTTCTGCATTTTGAAGTAGCAGAAGACTTGTGCTGGCTGCCATGTCTGGATTCACAAGGTGTCAGAGGAGATAACAGGCTGACTTGATGTACTCCTCACTTCCTACAGCGACCTTTCGTGCAGAAAATGATGAAGAAGAGCTGCCTTTCTGTTTCAGTTTTTGCTGTGTTTTTTTTATGTTTTTCTGAAAGTTTCCTCTGTGCGCACTGAATAGTTGAAGCAAGAAGTTTTCTCCTTAATTAACCTTGAACTCAAGATACAAAGAATAGGTTATTGACGGTTGTGCTACCTTGACTTTATACAAGCCACATGATGCATTTCATCCAAAATGAGGCAGCCCTCCTGTGAAGAAATTAATGTTTTGATTGTTTCCCACATTACAATCCCGTTGGAAATGACTTCTTATCATTTGAAGCGACCAGAAGATTCTTTAAATCAAATGTTCAATGGTGAAATTTCAATCAACTTCCCAGAAGACAAGTTAATTATTTCCAGTGTCCTGCAGACCAGGATAGTATCATGAGAGGTTTAAAGTCAAATATAGTTTGGGATGACTCATGACTCACGAAGCAATCTGTTCTTGCATCTTAAGAACGAAAAAAGCTTTTCCCTTGTATCTTAATGTTCATAAAGAACTAAACAGGACCAAACTGGTCAAATAAATACAACTTGTTAGAGAAAACCAGTGTGGGACACAACACCTTATTTGGATAACTCAGTTACTGATGTGTTAATTGGCAGTTAATTAGATTGGCAAAGTTAGGTTTTCTATAACATAGATTTTTGAAGTATTTCTGCGTGATTGTGGGTGTGGTCTGGTGTGCACTTGTTCATTTTCCTGTCTCAGATGCGAACTGGGGGTCCGCTGGGGGCCGTAAGGGGCACTCGAGAGCCGCAGTCGTAGTCGAGTTCAGCCATCCGGGAGCGGCTCATCATTCGGTTTTGGGAGTACGCTCGTCTGTCTGTTTGTCTGTCCCTGAAACTCCGGATGTAGCTCTGTGGACAGACAGGGGTTGGGTTAGGAAAATACAGTGAAGTGGGACATTTGCAACTGCTGCATATAGCTGTCTTCTAGTTGCAGGGGAACCTCACTGGAAATCACAGCTCCTGGCCAACAAATAGTCCCACACATAGCCCAATGTGAATGTTAGTATGTGGTAATCTAAGATAATTAATGTGCTGAAAAACGAAGCCAAAAACTGCAGTTCCATGAATGGCCACTTGAGGCTGAGTCCATAAGTGAGTCAGTCCCCATAAACGCGCAATGTTACAGCCTGGTACACAGTACGTGTGTTAGTAGGAAGCCAAATATTTCTGTACATTTGTTGATGAAATGGAGACACTAAAACTTTCACTAGCTTATATATTAATTTCATGAAACATCTTTTAAAGCATGACATTTATCTTAGGAAGAAGGATGCTTACCGGTGACAGCACATCTCCATCAAAGCGCCTTTTGGGGTTGGACTTGCGATGGTAGCCGGGCTCAGTCTGAGGAGGCGGGACTTTAGGTGGCTGAGAGGTCTGTGCTTGGTGATGAGGGTGGGAGGCCGCTGGGTGATGGTACTGCTGGTGATGGTGGTGATTGGGGTTGGGTTTCTGCTTGTGGTTAGGCTTCAGGTTGTCTCGTTTTTTC